ATCAAAGGTTAAAATTGCCAAAAATCATGTGTGTACTTCAATCAGGCAATTTTTAAGAGCGATTTTTGTTTCGGTTATTTCAAGCAAAACATATTATTTAATTTGCCGCAAGGATGTGACGTATGCCTCTCACAACGAAAGTGCCAGCATTATACATTCTGACAATAGGCTATTTTTGTAATGTAACCAAATTTAATGCATATGTCTCTGTGAAGTGCCTCGATACACTATTTCATTCACCTTATGAGAATAATAGTATTTCAATAGACAATAGTATCCAAATTGCAATATTAGTCGTTGCCAGGTTGGACAAACATTATGACTTGCCCTACCTAGCAACACTTAATATATGCAGTTTGCATTCTGACTGTTGAAATAAAAGAGGTATACATTAAATTTGGTTACATTACGAATTTACGAAATAGCCTATTCAAGATGCCGATGTGTCAGGCTTACGGTTGTTCAAATCAGCCATGGGTGATAGTAAGACAGCTCTGTACGTCTGTGTTGTGAGGACTCTACATCACAAAAAATGCCACGCAATGCATTGTGGGGGAGATTTGGCTCGATAATTAACTTGTTTTTTGCTCATTAAAAAAAATTATTAAAAATAAATCTGAGCACAATTTTCCAAAACCAAATTATATTTGGGCTTTTTAGATTTGTGTCTTTCTAATCAGCTCAAATTTTCAGTGAAGTGGACTTGTACTTAAGGTTGACTTCTAGATGCAGGTTCAGATGCCTCAATGTCCAGATTCTGGTAATGTAAATGTAAATGTAGTTCTCCAGCGGTAACTTATAGGCGCGATCTGGGGAGCTGCCCTGTAATCGCATTTTGCCAAAGCCTATCCAGCTTGTTTTAGAGATTAGAATTAGTAACAGCCTCGTCAACTTGGTTTGGAAGGCTTTTTTCATGTACTAACTTTCAAAGTCTTTTGTCAGATTAAATCTGTTACGCATAGTGCTACTGGTACTCATGAGCTCAAAGAGAGGATTCATGCATGCTAGAATCATATATTTTGAGCACTTTGAAAGTCTCAGTCATATCACCACAAGCTCAAAGCCCATTTCACACTTTTCAAAGCCATGAAAAATCGACAACTTCTTGAAATCAACAATACTATCAACTAAGAAACATTGAGTAACAGCTTTGGTTCGCAAATACTTAAAATATACAATTTCGTTACTCTCATTTCAGAATAAGAATGAAATTTTCACTTTTTACTCAAATCGAGGAATTCCATATTGTTAATGAAAAAGATTACTTCACAGAGTTGCCAATTTGTGTTTGATTGATCGCACCTTAAAAAACTCGTAACTTTCTTATTATTTAATCGCTTTTTTGCTCAAACTTTCACTGATCTGTTTCTCTCATTTATCTGCTTCTATGAAAACCCAACTTAATATCAGGGTGTGATCTCTCTCTCTCTCCTCTCTCTCTCTCTCTCTCTCTCTCTCTCTCTCAATCAATCAATATACCCCCTCTCTCCCTCCCTCTCCCTATCCCTCTTTATTGATAAACAGGGATAACTGCTTGCTTTTGCTTCTTCTATCTTGTTATTGATTAGTCAACTTTCTTTCAATTCTCACATCTTCATCATTTTCTGTTCTGACATGACTGGAATGGAAAATGAAAACAAATACCAAGACACGAATACAGCACTAACAAAAAAAACAAAAAAACAAGCATAAACAAACACGTAATGTGAGAGAAAGAGAGAGAGAGAGAGAGAGCAATACAAAAAAAAACAATGGCAGAATTCATAAATCTTAATGGGTTAGTTCAATAAAATAAATATTCTTTTATGTTCACACCTGTTTCACATCTCACTTTCTCTTTCATCTCTCATTCGTCTCTCCATATTTTGCTGCTCCTAGGTCCTAAATAATCACAAGGAAGATAAATATATTTCATTTGATTTTCAGATTTATTCATACTTCACACATGTATAACTCTGAGTCTGATCAAGCTTTAATTAACCAATATAGTGTATACTATAATAGGGGGAACTTTTGCTTTAGCTTATGACTAGGTCACATTTGCCAATAGCAATTATAGGGTCGTCGCAGCATTCCCATGGTCACATATGGTAGGGTAGCTGCACAGCTTTTTTTGAATTTGTGGAGAGAGAAAACCTGCGGCTGCCATACGGCCTTTGAAGAGATGACACACGGCTGCCTTAGGGGGTCCCTGCGGCGGCCGTAGGTTTTTGACAAATACCAAGGCACCCGCAATGCCACCGTATGGGCTCCGTAGGGTCGCCTTAAGGCTGACCTAGGACGCCAGTGGAATTCCTGCGGTCACTGTAATTTGTTTGAGGGTCCGCAAAAGTCAATTGTAATTCATTAGGCCCTAGTGGAGCCTCATGACAAACGCAAGGCCACGGTACACCCAACCCATGGTTGCCGCTCTACGGCATGGCTACAACGTGTCTATTCGCTACAGCAAACTTTGAAATGAAAACAGTTATAACTACGCGTTATAATCCCACAGTGACCCGTACAGCCTGTAAAGATACGCCTAGGGTGACCCTGAGCCGCCGCAAGTATCTCTTGATTTCGGGGGCGTACGTCCGCCATATTCTAGCCGTAGAGCAAATGCGACATAGGCATCAAGGAACCTGCTCATAAAGACCACTTTACTTGCCTCCCTGTGGACTGGCATGCATATGATATGAAGATCATTGATGAAATTTTTACCTTCATGACTTAACAAATGACATCCTTAATACCCGATCACGCAAAGATGCGCTTCTACTACGATGGAATGAGCGTGATTTGGTCGGGGTCGGATCACCTAGGTAGGGAAGCTGCCTGGTCTCCCCATGCTTATTTCTAACGTGCACAAAATAAGCATAGCAGATTTGTGGCCAATAATAAGCGGGGCAAAGTCTTATTAAGCACATAGTGGGAACGCCATTATCGTACAAGCAGCATCCTGGTGAGACCTCTGTGTAAAAGACTTGTAATAAAAACGCAGCACCGACTGCAACTATTTTGAGCTGCTTTAGGCCGTTCATCTCCGAAGTTGGGAAAGAACTGAAGAAATGCTTGAACATCCCAGATTTATATAGACATCGTCACAAATCGTAGTAGAAGCGTACTAGAAGCGTAATGTGGTCAGCACCAGCGCAGTGACATCGTCCTACAGTCTTCTTGGTCTGTATAACAACGTAGTATGGTCCTGTACATCGTAGCGACAACGTAGTAGAAACGACCGCTTGGTTTAGGTGTAATCGTTCAACTTCTAGGCATCTTAGCTGTTCCTAATTAGATCTACACCATAACATTTGATGATCAGGTCCATATGATAGGCATATGATAAAGTCGTAGGTATAGAGCCGACCCTGCCTAAATAAGAGGCTAACGAACGAAAGAGACAGAATTTTCGGTCTAGCATAACACAAGCTATAATTGCCCATTGGTAGGTGACTACGTCTATGCCACTGGCAATGCCACATCTGAAGAAAAAAAAGGGGCACATAAGGGTTGTGCCCCCTGCCTCCTCTTTAAAAATCAACATTGCCATTGGTTAACTTCCACATAGATCTTCCTAAACCAGACATTTATTCAGTCATTTTGTAATTAGAATGTACATGTACATAGCACGATTCAAGTTACAGGATTCCATTATTGATGTGCGGATAAATGCTGTTTAGACTTCAGTGTTAGATCTAGATTATACTAGTCTATAGTCTAGATCATAGATGGCCAACCTGCGGCCCGCGGAGCATTGGAAAAATAATTATAAAAAAAGATGATAAATGAAATGCGGTCCGCATAGCAGCGATGAAATGGGGTAAAACATTTACACACAGCAATATCTATTTCCATAATTTGTTTTCATCATTCACAATATATTCGTTACATGGTTGATACAAAACTCCTCCAATTTCCTCTCATTACATTAAAGGTAATACATTAAGATCACTTGCCGTGTTCATTTCAGTTTGTAATTTCTGCACGCAGTACGATTATAAATATAAAAATGTTATGAATCGATCAAGAAATATGTTTGCAAATTGCAGGTGTGTACACGTATTGCATGAGTATGTGTGTATGGGGGGGGGGGGGGGAGAGAAGACTACCTACATCCCACCAAGTTATGCCAATCGTTAGCTGTGGCCTGCGAGCTTTAAAAGGTTGGCCACTCATGGTCTAGATTTAGCACTGTATGCAAAGTTATAGCCACGCCAGCTCAGAAAACGCAGTCACTTCTTGGTGGTTGTTACCGCCTGCTAGCATTGGCAACATAAAAATCGTAATCCGCTCGACGAGATCTCATCGGCTTGAACTAGCAATGAGCCATTTGCGCAGTCTCTGTAACAAGTCCACATCTACCACTGATTATCATCGATAATCAAGCGAGATGTGCTCAAATGATATAATCTACGGTAAACTTCTGATTGTTTCTAAAAATATTACCATCGACGACTTAAATTAGAGTTCATTCAATCAGCTAATATTCTTTGGTCAGACAAAAGAAAAGGGGATATGGGATAGGGGGTAATAATACGTTGTGAGAATGCAAAGAGTCTGTGACTGCCATGACGAACACATCACAATCATTTCTGAGATTAAATTCACACAAAATGGATCTTTATATACTTACTTTTCTTGGTATCATATGGTATCAATTCGATGTCAATGTTCGCCTGAAGATTTTCAGGTTAACTGAGATATACTTGAAAAACTTCTATTATATAAGAGAAATTCACTTAAAACAAGAAAGTTTCATATTGAATAAGTTAAAAGTTGCAGTTCGTACAACCGCCATTTGTTCTCATTTTCATGCTCAAATCGTAGGGAATTCTGGGAATTTAAGCATTAATAATAAATACATAAAAAATTTTGTTGATGGCCAATCGACAAACAGTAATAGGCATATACTACATCACATGAATGAACTGAGATGATTTATTGCTGACTCTGCATACCTCATTTCCATATAAGGATTATGTTTTCCATTGTTTCTTCTTTTTCTCCCTTATGTAGGAATATCCGACTGGTACATCATGCCCAAAGCACGTAGAGCATACAGTTGCACCCAGTGCTTCTACATAAGCGAGCGCAGCCATGACCTCAAAAGACATTTTTCTACATGTCATGGAGAGGGACAGAGTCATGATCGTGAATCGTTGCCAGAGAGGACAGCACCCATTCGTCCAGCACTACAAAGCATTATTACTCCAGTGCCTGGAAGTGCAGAAAAGGAGAAAGGACAACAGAAAGCTATGTAAGTATAAAGAAAGGGAAGGATGAACATTTTATTATTAGCCTTTTGAGCGCGTTATCAACCTTTTCGTCCCATTTTAAGATAGATTGGATGTGGATGCCCAAAATCTTCATCCCCTCAACCATTTCCTGCATGTATTGTTTATTACTATAATTGCTTTTAAAGATAAGCTGAGTCTGATAATGCAAATGCATTGTGAAAGAAACTGTGTGGAAGCGACTGGAAATAATTCTTGGTATATAGCCTACTGTTTTTGGAATCATTGTGAATTTTGCTCACGCTTGCTAAAAGGCACATGCACTGCGCACAGAAATGTCTATATGGGACTACACAAACATGTTGCATACGGTACTTATTTAAGTGTGGTCCACAACCTTTAGCTGTTTCTTGTCATATTTTGAATGTGAGGGCCTTTTAAGAGCCATCCTTTTTCAGGGACACATTTTCTATAATAAACTTCCACACTCGCATAAAAAGAATGAAAAAGCTTACAAATTATTTTCCACCTTTCCCAGAACTTAACCTTCTCTTTAAAGCATTCTAGTTTTCATTAATGAAACTCACCCATGCATTTTCAAGCAATGCTTAACTTGCTTCTAAAGATTGAACTTTGAAAACTGAAGAAAAAGAAAGAAAGAAATGCCTGGGTTTACTTTCATGACATTGTATGAAAAGTAAGGAGGTTTGGCCACTTCAGATCTGTTCCAGTTCAGGAGTAAGTTCTACAGATAAAACTGATCATTTTGAATTTAAACAAATTAATTTCTGCAGGAGGAAGCCAATGTCTTCTGACAGCAACTCATCAGAGTCCTTACCAAACACCTTCATCAACCAACCCTCCCATTCCTGTACTACCTTTGACAAACCTAAGAAAGAGAAGACCAGGATAGGCCCCACCCCAAAAGGTGACTCCAAAAAGAAGAAGTTTGTGCGCTTCAACGTTAACAGCAACGGGTTGTCAGAATCTGCTGGTATAGGTAGCAAGACGGCAATGTGTGCTCTGACGGGGGTCAATATCACCTCTGTTTATCAGCTGAAGAAGAAGAAGGAACCAAATGCGGTTGACAGTTCACTCAATGTAGAAATACCAGAAGGTATAAACATGTTTGTTTGAATTAATTCACTGGCATTGGAAATGGGGGAGGGGGAGGGGGGGGGGGAGGGGATGGCCTTTAGCGCAGCCTGGTTAAGGGCTGGAATGGCCTTCCGCCCCCCCTTCCACTTTTTATGGCTGAAAACCCCTTATTTAGTGTGTTTCAAATATTCTAGATATCAGATCAATTTATAGCATTATGCCTGACATAATTTGACACTGCCATAGTTTTAGAATAATGCTAGATATAATAATATCTCTGTCTCGCTCTACCTTTTTTTCTCTTCTTGTCTCTGTGTTGTGACTTCCATCCAATCAGCGTAAGCCTTTCCTCCAGTGCATACCAAGTCCAGACAGTGCAATGCAGCTCCTATGGGCGCGGCCGGCCAGCTGGCCAGCGCGACGCAATGCGCTACTGTCGTTGGTATATGGTGTACACACTATACAACAATTAATCTACGCTAGATCTGAACTTGCCGTATCTTGATGATACACATTGCACAATATCCCCCCCACACTTTTTCAGTTACCCCCAAAGTGCCCCATTTACATAGGACAAGTGCCTCTTTTACTTTGTAAGAACTACCCCTTCCACTTGTAATAAATGCCCCTTTTCCTTGTGATGATGTACCCCGCCCCTAACTGCCAATGTCCACATTTCCTGAAACATCCCAGAGTACAGAGAGGAACTTATCAATTGCACTCAGCGCTCCAAATCCTTTGACCTTTCTGCACTACTAAATGTCTAATCACTTTTGTCCAGTTAATATACCGAGATACTGGCCAAAATCAGAGGAATACCGTATATACGATACAGCACATTTTTGGCTCAAAATTTATATTTTACACACTACTTTACTCATTGAAACTGATATCAGGATGAAGGTATTTTAATTATCCATCTTTTGACACCAAATACATGGTGATTAGAGGTTTTAGTTAAAAGTTATCTTTAAAACTTGATGTAAACACACCAAACAGGTCCTTAATACACTAATGCACGTATTATGCATACAGTTAATACGCATGTGGGCAAAAATGCTGTTTTTGTGGAAATCAAATCAATAATTTTGGATTGCTATAACTTTTTACTGAAAAGATATATAAACCTATCCCTCACACAGGATATTGTCTTTGTACATAAGCAAATTTCTGGAAAGTTATGAAACAATCCACTTCTCCAATTTTGATGTATTGAAAATAATGTTTTTTGATAAAAATTCAATATTTCCAAAAAATCACCATAAATCATGTTTTTTACTTAAATTTGCGATGTTAATTAACCCTAATCTCATTGAAATAGGTATCAACAAGTAGATAACTTAATTTTCTTTCATATGACACCAAACTCATGGTGGTTCAAGGTTTCTTTAAAATATTATTCACAAAATACTTGGTGTCCTTTCCAGCTTGGTTGATCCCCCCCCCCCCCCCCCCCTGAGTGAGTCAGATAAAATGTCCCACTTTTTAAAAGTTGTATTGTTTGAATATTTAATCATGGGTTTCATGATATGTCTTGATAGAGTTATCCTCCTGGTACATTTAGGTACCATTTTCATTTGAATCTCTGCATTCATGACTGAACGTCAGACAATCTTTACAAGACTGCCAGATCTCACTTGCGCCAAGTTGCTGGGTGAGGAATTTAATAGTGTTTTGAACAAAGACAGCCATGCAGACAGACAAAAACACACGCACAAACTTTTCTACAGAGATGCATTATTAATCAACTAATCTACACACAAATGTTATGATGATGCTGCTCCTAGTCTTGACAGTCGTCTGAGTCACTATATAGTTGCGATCTCTACGCATACCTGCCAACCCTTACGAATAGTCCGGAATATTCTGTTTTTCTGGATTTTTAGGACCCCAAAATCCGGAATATTCTTTTTTTCTTCAAAATTTTGTTGTTGTTGTTGTTGTTGTTTTTTGTTGTTGCCTACTGGTAAGCCAAATTAAACTTGTTTTATCATGTGCCGCAATGTGAGAGTTCACATATTGCGTGCGTTGAAGGGTTGCGTGATTGAGCAGCGAATTTTTATTCGCTTTTTTGTACAGATTTATACCGCGTACTGCCAGTTACACTGCCGCTGCATGTGCGAACGCCTGTTAAGAGTACAGATTTTTTATTTTCGAAGGCGTATACCGTGCTAAAACTTCTATATGTCTACGTTATCCTTTTGTTTCAGGGAGGGGAGAGGGGATCTTTGTCCGCCTCCTTCGAACATGAGGATGACGCAAAATCGCTGCCACTGCCGGGGGATACATTCGCATTGCGTGGCAATACAGAGTGCGATATTTCTAGTTTTAATGAGATTAATAATTGTCTTGATATCAGCGCACATTTTTATATTGCGGAATTGGGATTGATTGATTCTGATTGAAGATATTACCTGATTTTTGACAAACATCAATACAAATGTTGAATTTTTTGCCAAAAACTGACCGAAATTACCTTAAGATTGTTGTTGTTGGGGGTCAATTTAACCACATTTCATGGCATCAGAGCACATTTTTATATAGAATAGGCCCATCAAATCTCCTTTGCTGATAATAATGATTGGAAAAATTACCCCTGACTAAATTAAAGTGACTATGATAATAATTGTCAATTTTTGCCAAAAAGCGGACAAAATGACCAAAATGCAGTAGGGTCGATATATTTTTTATGAATTATTACAAAATTTCTCCCCAAATATATAAGCTATTCAAACCTTCCACAACAAAAAATGATTAGATCCCCTTATCTCCTATAGGGTATAAAACAGTCCCCTAGCGAATATTTTTGTTGACTTTTTCCCATAACGCATCACATGAAAATCGACTAAGCACTGGTGTCACTAGATGGCGCTGTGGATTGTGAATCATCCGTATTGAACTGAGATGATTTTTTGCTGACTCTGCATACCTCATTTCCACAAGGATTATTTTTTCCATTGTTTCTTCTTTTTCTCCCTTATGTAGGAATATCTGACTCGTACATCATGCCCAAAGCACGTAAAAGACACAGCTGCACCCATTGCTTCTACACAACCAAGTGCAGCCATGACCTCAAAAGACATTTATTTAGACGTCATGGCGAGGGACAGAGTCATGGTCGTGAATCGTCGCCAGAGAGGACAGCACCCATTCGTACTGCAATACGAAGCAATGTTACTCCAGTACCTGGAAGTGCAGAAAAGGAGAAAGGACAACAGAAAGCTATGTAAGTATAAAGAGAAGGAAGGATGAACATTTTTTTTATTAGCCCTTTTAACTCTTATCGTGCCAAGAACACTGTTCTGTGCATGCGCTGGCGTGCCACGCTCACATAATCGGGTTTCTGTTGACTTGCCATGCACACATAAACTCTCATTCGCTCGCGTGCCCCGGACACATTTTCGTGCATAAGTACACACGCTAATTGTTTATGCCTATTGTGCGATGCGCATTGCGCACACGCATGAATGCTTACATGTATTTGTGGAGGGGGTTTATTGTTGTTTTGATTTTGCGTGCTTCACATATACCGTTACATTGGATTTTCCTGAGAAAATTGCGATATTTTATCATCAAATTTATCAGTTTTGATCATGGCCCCTCAGATTGTGTTCGGGAAATGAGACAACGGATTGGTTTGACAACTCACTGATTGTGCTTATTTACTTTACCAAAATTACAGATTCATGAAATGATATTGGTATCAACAGAAAGAGGGTTAAATTTCCTACAACTTTAACGTACAATTTTTTAAAATACAATATACAGATGAGATGTTATAGTGGATCAAACATAGTAACAATTTTAAACTACACGCATTTGAACCAACCCTAAATTAACTTGGCACACAGGAGATTAGTGGCTGGCACAATAGGGATTAGCACTGGGTGAATTGCATGGGGGCAGCTTAAGAGTTAAACATACTAGCAGAATTACGCGTCGGTGTAGGCCTATGATGATGATGAGGTATGCCGGGTGGGGGTTGGATGAAACAAAATCACAATCCTAATGTCTTCGAATTTTACCTGTACTGACTGACCTTTCATCAAATAAATGATCAAAGGGATAAATGAGTAATTATAATTAAGCTTTTACCAATTGCTGAGGGGGGGGGGCACTTGGCAGATTTGGTTCAGACGGAGCTGTGGCGTTGAAGCCACCAAACCTGTACCTGATTTTAAGGGTCATTTTGGTAGAAAAGGGTACCTATTATCAGGGGGGGGGGGGAGGGTTTCATCCACACAAAAATTGTGTATCTTACCGACAAAATTGGCATCCAGTCTAAAGAGTGAAATTACAACATCATATCCCATGGAAAGGGATTTTTCGGCCCTTGAACCATACCCCATGTTTAGGGATTTTTGGCAAAAAAGTCACCCATTACTTAGAGCGGCACATCCCGTTTACCTATAGGCTCAAAAGAAAATTGTTCAAAAATCGCTCCTTATGATCGACATTATTATTTGTAGCCTACCTAAAGCTGGTTAAAATCAAGTGTCCAGACAACCTGTAGGCCTATAGGTATAAGCAGGCAAATAATCTATTTCGATTAAGTGAGATTTTAAAACCATTTTGAACCATGTCAGTCAAAATTTGTCAAAATTTCAGTTTTCAAATCGATTTAGATTCATATCTAAAGTTCATAAATTTTCCCATTTTTATCCAAATAATCTGGCAGAACAACGTATGTCGACTTACGTTGTTTTGCCAAAATATTTACGTCCCGGTTAAACTATGGTCACAGCACCTAAAAGTAGCCTGGTCGGCGGTCTGGCGGCGAGTTTTGAGCAAATTTCACCCGGGCACCGAGCGACGGCCGCCCGGGCACTGCTTGTTTTTATATAGGGCATCACTCGGTCGCTGCTGAGGTTTTTAGCGTGGGGTGATAAGTCGGTCACTGGGCGGTGAGTCCAAAATCGGCCGACAGCCTGACCTAGCAGCTTTGATTTTTGACCTAAATCACTCAACTACGAACGCTCAATTAGGTCGGTGCCCGGGCGACGAACACCCGGGCACAGAGCATATTTTGGAGCCCCGCCGATCACCGGCTGGTTGCCAGGCACTTATTTTAAAATCAGCTGGTGGCCGGTGGGTCATCAGTTGGTCACTGCCGGGACGCCGCTCGGAGAAGCTCCCCGGTTTCGCCCAGTTTTGACCTAAAATCGACCGGCAACCAACGGGAAATCGACAGGGCATCGCCCAGGCATCGCTGGGGCTCTACAGCCTGCTTGACTTCTCCAAAAATCGTTGGGCAATGCCTAAATTCCAGCAGCGACCGAGCAGGCTACTAATCGGTCGGTCGCCGCTCTGAATTGTGATCATAGCTTAAGAGCTTAAGAGTCGTTTTGACAGCGCAGTGCGCATAACGACATACGTTGTTTTGCCAGATCACAGCGTAGCGGCATGGAGCTTGCATAACGACATACATTGTTTTGCCAAATTACGTCAAAGATGCAGGGTAAGTCTGGCAAAACAAGGTATCTCTACAAAATCATTGATAGATTGAGAAAAAAAGTGTTTTATTGAATAATTCTACCCTGCATGGTAAAAGAATATTATCCGCTACATGTAGACAATATATCTTGGAAAATGATTCAACTTTAGAAAAATAAGAACACTTTTAACTGGAAAGTTGAAAGTCTCTGATATCTTGGAAGTACCAAAACAGACATACATTGTTTTGCCAGATCACGGCCGCGCTGTTGAAAATATATTATAATTTCAAATTGTGATGTTAGTGTGTTTCATGACATTGTATAAAAAGGTCAGAGGTTCTGATCTGTTCTATTTCAGTAGTAAGTTCTAAACCGATAAAACTGATCTCTGCAGGAGGAAACCAGGCGTCGCCAGCCATAGTGTGTCTTCTGACAGCGGCTTATCAGAGTCTGTACAAGACATCTTCATCAACCAACCGTCCCATTCCCGTACTCCCATCGACAAACCTAAGAAAGAGAAGACTGGGACAGGCCCCATTTCAGGTATGAACTTCAAACACGGTGATAGGACTTATCACCATAAAACACCATTTGATTACGGTAGATTTTAGAGTTATTAAGTACGTCATAGAGGTTAATTTATGAAATTACAGATATAAGCCTCATTATCATGATATCTCAAGCAACAGAGGTATATGAGCTTCAAACATTATGTATCATAATTATGTCATAAGCAGGTCAAATGTCAAAGATGTCAATTTACATGAAATTTCAGCCACATTATCACATTGTCTCAAGAATGATTTGAGCCATGAATTTCAAACATGGTATTAGTATGTATCACATAATTCGACAAATTGTTTGAGATTTGGGGTTAAGAGAGTCAAAAGTCAGCAATTCAATGTACATGAAATTAGATATGTTTTCTTCTTCAAACCTTAATTATCACCATATCAATAACTATTTCAAGCTGTTGACCTGTGAACTCAATAGAACTTATGCATCACCATATAGGGAGAAATATGATCAGATTTTGGGATTGCCAGGTAGCTGCGCTATATAATTGAGCTAATTTTTCCTCTTATTATTATTATCATTCCTTGAAAATGTTATGCCTCCGCAACGAAGTAGCCAGAGGCATTATGTTTTCAGGTTGTCCTTCCGTTCATACGTATGTCCCGTTCTCGTGATCGCGTTATCTCAAGAACCGATTGATGGATTCCTGTCAAACTTTGGTCATAATGCATCTTGCAGAGCTAATGAACTGATTAGATTTGGGGTCACGAGGTCAAAGGTCACAGGGCTCATTATGTATGCAAATATAGCTTGTGATCACATTATCATTATAACCGATGGACAGATTACCATCAAACTCAGGACATGTTTATATCTTGCAGAGCCAATGAACTGATTAGATTTTGGGGTCATGAGGTCAAAGGTCAAAGGACATGGGGCTTATTGTGTATGCAAAATAGCTTGTGATCGAACGCATTATCATTAGAACCGATGGACGCATTACCATCAAACTCAAGACATGTATATATCTTGCAGAGCCAATGAACTGATTAGATTTTATAGGGTCATGAGGTCAATGGTCAAAGGTCATGGGGCTCATTATGTATAAAAAAATAGCTTGTGATCGAACGCATCATTAGAACCGACAGATGGATACTATCAACCTCAGGACATGTATGTATCTTGCAGAGCCAATTCATGAACTGATTAGATTTTAGGGTCATGAGGTCAAAGATCAAAGGGTCATACATATACCGGTATATGAAAAATAGCTTGTCATCATGATATTCTGAGAAACTGTTAATGGATCACAACTTGAACTTGAATTTTAAAAATTGCTTCTGTTTTTGTTTGTAAAATCGCTCAATGGCGGAGGCATCATTTTCGACTGCGTGCAGTCGAGCAGTCAAAGATCTATCTAGTTTTAATTTTTTTTTTTCTCCATTAAATTATATAGCATTAATTATGGCAGTTATATTTCACATATGGTATTGTTACAATGTATGAATTGACCAGTTTCATTACGTTAGTGATTTTTCGCAAAAGGTGATGGAGAATGTGTACTGAGAATATGACTTTACCGTCAAGTTTACATGGTAGCAATTTCCTAGGCAATGTATTTATAGTCGTCCTCTTCAAATGCACATCCCTGTACCGGTATACATCTTTGTGCCTGCATGTTGCCATTACGGTTTACTACTATTTTCATTTTCTGTGCTGTAGGCATGTTCTGAAATACCCTCCATACCCATTCACCCCTCCTTTGTACATCAAACAGTCGGCCAGATACATCTTACGGCAGTACCAATATCCAGAATTCAGAACTAACAAAACAACTTTAGGTTTGTAATCTGCCACTGCACTTTCAAGTGTCGTTTGTTTTCAACTGTTTCAGACAACATTATACTGTATTATATATGAAAGTTTTGTTACATAGGTTCCTTCAAAATGAAAAAGTTCTCTTTACAGCCTTGGTGTGTATTCTGGGAGATAAGACCTAAACATTATTAGGTTAACATTGAAATCATTGCAATTTCTTTATCTGCATGAATTCCTTGTTTTTATGAGTGTATGATTGATATCACCAAGCAAAACTTATATCATAAGAAAGAAAAAGTCTGTTCTAGTTTAAAAATATATTTTCCTCTAACCTCAGGTACAGTCATCGTCCCGCCAGAGGCAGCACCGGATGGAGAGCAAGATGGGTACAAGAGCAAGGAATTAAGAAAACAGAGTCCACGCAAAAGAAAAGATTCTAACAATAAGAGTAAGAAACCGCTCCTTTCCCTCGTATTCAAATAGGTAGTCAAGGCCAAGGACTATATTTTGTTTGGTGTTCCATACATGACCAAGGATTGTGGTACAGAGAACTTAATTAATTGATTTTGAATTTGAAAGTATCATTTGTTTGATGTTTAGTCTGATCCAAGCTTTTGGTAGGCTTATCAACAACCATCAAGTACTGAAATCTGTAACGTGGTCAGTATCATGTGAGAAAAAAACAACTTGGACTTGCCCACTTACTGATTTTTTCCCCCCCTCTTTGTAATTCATCTGTTATTTGAGAAGTTACGCCACTGATTACTAGAGAGAAAAATTATTAAACCATGAATTTTATGTCTTCAAATATTGATTATAGCCTCATGAATATTTGCATACACAATAAATCCAGAATTGTCCCTTACTCTATAACTTACTCTTCAGTTATTAATGGATTCCGTCATTTGCAGATGCACCCCCAACTGTCAAATCTGTGTTGTGTACGGTATGCGGCATCATAGTCAACCTGTTTGACAGAAAATCCTTCTTCCGTCACCCAGTTCTGAGTGTGGTAATCTGTAAGGTATGATATCTAATTAATTTGTCATTTGATAAATCAAATTAAATTATCTACTTATTTGGGAAGCTTAAATGTGATTTGAGGGAGCCCAATAAACAAAACACTAAAAAGTAACCTCTTTTGGGAGTGTATTTTAAGTGATTTTAAAGTATGGTGCCTTTTGAACTAGATTTAAACGTTATTGACACCTTCATTTAAACAAGAAAGGTACTCCTGTTCACGTTTTCATCTAACCTAAAAACCACCAATTTATCACGCGACTGGAGTAACGTGATTCCACTTACCTCTGTAAATCAAGTGTTTATGACCAAATAACCACTTGACCAAGCAACAAGTTTTTTGTCCGTTAACCGATGGTGGTAATAAATACGTAATTATTTGGTCTTGTAAGCACCTTTATCGATTGGTTTCACAGGTTATCCAAGGTTGATGGTAATAATCACGTTACTTACACCGGCTAATCGTCTTATTGTTCTGTCCGTGAATCTCTGGTTATATTAAATAAGTAATTCTGAGGTGTGTTACACACCTCTTTAAATGGTTTAAAAGTTACCATAACTTTCTTGGTTATGATCACGTGGCTCAAGCTGATTACTAATCTAAGCTGTGAATCCATGATATTAAGGTGTGAAAAATTAGTGTCTTAAAACACCTTTTTAAATGGTAGTCAAAGTTGCCATAAGTCGTGCGGTGATGATCTCGTGACTCAAACGGATTATTAATCTAAGCTGGGCATACGTGACTGTTAGGTGTGAAAAATTAGTAATTATTAGGTGTCTTAAAACACCTTTTTAAATGGTTTCAAAGTTACCATAACTTTCTTGGTGATGATCACGTAGCCAAAACTGATTACTAATCTAAGCTGTGAATCCGTGATATTTAGGTGTGAAAATTAGTAATTATTAGGTGTCTTAAAACACCTATTTAAATTAGTAATTATTAGGTGTCTTAAAACACCTATTTAAATGGTAGTCAAAGTTGCCAGCAGTTCCGCGGTGATGATCTCGTGACTCAAACGGATTATTAATCTAAGCTGGGCATACGTGACTTTTAGGTTTGAAAAATTAGTAATTATTAGGTGTCTTAAAACACCTTTTTAAATGGTTTCAAAGTTACCATAACTTTCTTGGTGATTTTCACGTAGCTAAAACTGATTACTAATCTAAGCTGTGAATCCGTGATATTTAGGTGTGAAAAATTAGTCATTATTAGGTGTCTTAAAACACCTATTTAAATGGTAGTCAAAGTTGCCAGCAGTTCCGCGGTGATGATCTCGTGACTCAAACGGATTATTATTATAAGCTGGGTATTCTGTGATTTCCAGGTGTGAAAAATGAGTTATTCTTGGGTGTCTTGATGGTTTCACAGTTACCATCTAAGTTCCATGGTGATAATCCTGTGACAGTTGGCATATTTCTATTTTCACCAGTTGATAACTGACTGTTGGCATCTTTTCATTGCACACGTTGATAACTGGTCTGTGTGCATATTTCCAGTTGCACCAGTTAATGACTGACTTTTGGCATTGTAAGATACTAATCTGTGTTTTGTAAGGACATTTTTTGTTTTGCCTGACGATCGAGTTATGACGTCAGTAGCGATGGTTTTTTGATTGAATTTTTAGTCTGCCGATTGGGGGCGTAGTAATTTAGCTGCAAATGATTCTCAATTTTGGGAAAAGTCATCTTTCTGATTGCGATCAATATTTAGTATTTCCAGACAAGCCCAATGTTGTTGAATCGCCTTTTGTGAACGGTATCGCATCATGCTTGAAATTGTCGCTATTTATTGAAGTGCAGTCAGTCCGATTGGCAAGTTATACGCTACATTAAGTTCAACAACAGTGCTTTAAGTCAACATGAGCGATATGTCCCATCAAGAGTCCGTCAAGCCCGGGGATTCAGCAAGCCAGACTGGCAAGAGCAGCACAAGCAGTACCTCCAGAGCTAGAGTCAAAGCAATGGTAAAGAGAGCGGCCTTGGCAGCCCAGGCAGCAGCTCTCAACGAACAACAAGCTCTTGAACTGGAGGAGTTCAAGCTGAAGCATAGAAGGTGTAAGCTTGAGCTACAGACAAGACTCAGCATGGCAAGAGCTGAGGAAGAGGTTTTCTCCCAGCATGGAGAGAGCATGACTGCTGCTGTAGATAAAGATGTCTCCCAACAAAGAGGGGCCTTGATGACGGAGCCCAGCATGGCTACAGATTTAGAGAAGGCTGTCTACCAGCAGAGACAACCCTCACAGGTGCAACCTAACAGGGTCAGCACTACAGACAAGGACTTCTCCCAGCATGGAGAGAGCATGACTGCTGCTGCAGATGAAGATGTCTCCCAACAAAGAGGGGCCTTGACGACGGAGCCCAGCATGGCTATAGATTTAGAGAAGGCTGTCTACCAGCAGAGACAACCCTCACAGGTGCAACCTAACAGGGTCAGCACTACAGACAAGGACTTCTCCCAGCACGGAGAGAGCATGACTGCTGCTGCAGATGAAGATGTCTCTCAACGAAGAGGGGCCTTGACGACGGAGCCCAGCATGGCTACAGATTTAGAGAAGGCAGTCTACCAGCAGAGACAGCCCTCACAGGTGCAACCTAACAGGGTCAGCACTACAGACAAGGACTTCTCCCAGCATGGAGAGAGCATGACTGCTTCTGCAGATGAAGATGTCTCTCAACGAAAAGGGGCCTTGACGACGGAGCCCAGCATGGCTACAGATTTAGAGAAGGCTGTCTACCAGCAGAGACAACCCTCACAGGTGCAACCTAACAGGATCAGCACTACAGACAAGGACTTCTCCCAGCATGGAGAGAGCATGACTGCTGCTGCAGATGAAGATGTCTCCCAACAAAGAGGGGCCTTGACGACGGAGCCCAGCATGGCTATAGATTTAGAGAAGGCTGTCTACCAGCAGAGACAACCCTCACAGGTGCAACCTAACAGGGTCAGCACTACAGACAAGGACTTCTCCCAGCACGGAGAGAGCATGACTGCTGCTGCAGATGAAGATGTCTCTCAACGAAGAGGGGCCTTGACGACGGAGCCCAGTATGGCTACAGATTTAGAGAAGGCAGTCTACCAGCAGAGACAGCCCTCACAGGTGCAACCTAACAGGGTCAGCACTACAGACAAGGACTTCTCCCAGCATGGAGAGAGCATGACTGCTTCTGCAGATGAAGATGTCTCTCAACGAAAAGGGGCCTTGACGACGGAGCCCAGCATGGCTACAGACTTAGAGAAGGCTGTCTACCAGCAGAGACAGCCCTCAGAGTTGCAACCCAACATGGTCAGCGCTACTGTAACAGACAAGGACTTCTCCCAGCATGGAGAGCCCTTGAAGTATGTAACCACCACGAACCAGAGTGAAACCACAGAACAGAATGGCTCCGTACTAACTGGGTCAGAAGCAAGTTATGGAATCGCCATAGGGGCCGGTATGCGATGTGTATTTCCCATTGGTCCAGTGCATGTTCAGGCAGCAGATGGAGATAGATGTGTTCGTACCTACGCTCTACTGGACTCTGGTTCAACCACTTCCTTCTGCACAGAGAGCCTAGCAAGGAAAGTGTCAGTACAGGAGGAAGAGCGCATACTTTCCATAACAACCTTGGACCATCCTGATGGAAGGATCCAGACTCTAGTTGTCAGTCTTATGGTCGACACAGTTATCATGACAGAAAGAGTGAAGCTTCAGAAGGTTTTCACCAACAGGAAGACAGACATACTGAGCGACCACATGGCCAGTATGCTAGACTTAGAAGGATGGCAGCACTTAAAGGGTCTGGATCTACCATTTGCCTGCAGACAAGAAGCGGGACTCCTGATATGGCAAGATGTGCCATTTGCTCTGATGCCCTTAGAGGTTCGTAGAGGAAAGGGAGAAGATGAACTGTTGTCCTTGCATGGCCCTGCTGCTGCTATTCCAGACAATAAAGGAATGTCGGTGAAGGACAGAAAGGCTCTTGACATACAGAATGAAGGGAAGTGCAAAGAGATGGAACAGTACCAGTTTCACATACCCTTCAAGGAGAAACGACCTAGCTTGACAGACAACCGATTGGTAGCACTAGCAGAACACAAGTTGTGGAGTCTTAGAAGGAAGCTAGGTAGAGATGACGCTCTGCACTACAAGTACACAGAAGGTTATGCAGAGGAGATGGAAGAGCAAGATTGTCAACCAGGTGATGTAACATGTCGATACCTCCCTCATCATCCAGGTTTACAATTTGGTACTGGTGGTCGACGAGCACTCACACCGCAATGTTTGGCCTTTGGGAAGAGTCCTTCAGACATGGCCAGAAGAGAAAGGCTTCGATCGACAGTGTGAAGTGAAGACCTGAACCAGCGTACTGAGGGGAGACCAGTTACAAAGCTCTATTTAATTTGGAGGCAGATTCTTGGAGACATTTCTGTGTTTCTAAGATGAGGGGTCAAGCCTAGCGCTGTCCCGTGCCAATTGTAGAGGTATTTGTGTTTTGTGTTCTTAAAACCAGAAAGTGGAACTGACATCGATCCTTTTTCGCGTATTAGAGTAACATTGATCAGTCGAGAAATTGAGGAATTTTTGTGCTTCAGCATCATGGACAAGAGTGTCAACATTTGAGCAACTTTCAGAGAATTTTTAGAGACTTTTACAAGAAATTTGAGGAAAGTTCAGCGTTTCAGAAGAAGTTCTAAGCAAGAAAATATGTTGCAAGACAAAGTTGATATTTAGTCATAAGAGGAAATACATATTATTCTGATCCTCTAATAACTCAGAGAATGTCAAAGAACAAGATTTTTGAAGAAAATGGATTATACCATAATGCAAGACTGACATGGTGTAATTTATGTTAGCATGATATTGGAAAGTAAATGTTTTTGTTTTTCAACCTTCTAAACAAACTCTATATTCATTAGAAATGGTAAATGTGATTTTCCTTTATATTCATATGATGAATGCATTTTGTATATATATGTATTCTATATTAGGTTCATTTCCAGAGGAGAAAGCTAAAAGTTGCAGAATACATTCAAATCAGTTATACGTGTTGATGATATGTCATTTATTACTGTTTCCATGACAACCAAATTACATGGCATTGGCTATTTGGTAGAATATGTAATACCAGGATCGATAATGTCATATATGCAGATTGTGGATAGAAAGATTGAAATGGTATATGCAGATTATGCATTTGTCTATGTAGGGACTTGGAAATGTTGACTAGGAAAGTTTATATTTTCTAGCAGATGATGTCTTGTGAAGATATAATTGGGTACAACAACATGACTATATGTGTACTGGAATTGGTATGTGAATTCAATTCAGTTTCAAACAGTATCTGTGAAATCGTACATAGTGTTGATTACAGAATCAATATTTCCTTTTATTGGGTGACACATAACAAGATTTCTCCTTTAGTTTGTATGGGATTGAAAGAAGTAGTTGTAGTGGTAACAGTTGCCAACAGAGATTTTTCAAAGTGAAATTTTGGTTTTTATATTTTAATGTGGGAATTTATAAAGTTAAGTTATTGAAGCATGTTATACATTGATACAGGGAGTATGGCAACCAACTTTGTTGTAAGTTTATTTGAAAAGGAAATTGTAGTCCTTTTTGGTGTTGTAACAAGGAAATCTAGACATGAACAACTTTTTTCTTTTTCGTTTGCAAAGAAAGCTGTTTGGTTGCTTAGGTGTTCATCAACATTAATGTAAATTAGATTATTTGTTAATTGGTGTATGAAGGCATTCAGTATAGATAGATAGCTATGTTTTAAATTTTGGGATTCCTTTGGAATTTTGGATAAAATATATACCTGTAAGTCCAGGTTGAGAATAAGAAGAGATTAGAGAAGTAAATGTTCAGTAATCTTCACATTTAGGGGCCGGAATGTAAGATACTAATCTGTGTTTTGTAAGGACATTTTTTGTTTTGCCTGACGATCGAGTTATGACGTCAGTAGCGATGGTTTTTTGATTGAATTTTTAGTCTGCCGATTGGGGGCGTAGTAATTTAGCTGCAAATGATTCTCAATTTTGGGAAAAGTCATCTTTCTGATTGCGATCAATATTTAGTATTTCCAGACAAGCCCAATGTTGTTGAATCGCCTTTTGTGAACGGTATCGCATCATGCTTGAAATTGTCGCTATTTATTGAAGTGCAGTCAGTCCGATTGGCAAGTTATACGCTACAGGCATATTTCCAGTTGAACCAGCTGACACCAATTAATTTGCATATTGAATATGGGGTGCGTGCAGATCTATTTTTTTTTAAACAATTTATCTGAATTTACAGCATATTTCTTAATTACTGATGATTTATTTATACGCAATTCATTTTGAAAATACTACAAATATAAATTACCAGTTATTAGGACATTTCGCTACTTCGTATAAATTACATTTAATTAAACATGAATAAGTGAAACATTAACTATGAACTAAAATAATTTCAATAAAATACAAGTATATGAAAAAAATTTGATTAATTAAATTATGTAAGTCTACTTATTACCAATGCCTTTACATTGGAAATACAGACGTACCAGTATTGAAGTGTTGTTGCCGCTCAACTGGTTGGAAGTTTTACCAAATGGTTCTAATTGCTCAGCTAGACCAGTTGAATTCTAACTGGCCTGGATCAAATGGATCATTTAGCCCATTTCAATTTCCAGGGTTACCAGTTGGCATTAACTGGTTCATGAACCGGACCAGTCTCAACTAGTCTCGCACCTACCCCCCCTCCCCCACCCCCTCTAATCCCAAACTGCTTCAAGCGCACCTGGACGTAAGATCCAAAACACGATGTTCAGAAAACGGGATGAAAACGTCATTATTTTGGTTCATTTATTGTGTAACATTTGCGTAATTATTGGGTTGAACGCGGGTTACAATAACATATTTCCTCTTCGACGTAAGCTTCACGTGAATGAAGAACATATGATTCATCTCAAGTCAGCCTCGTAATATTCACATGAATTTCACGCAGATATTTTGACTAAAACTATCACTAACGCTTCACGTGTTTCTGTGACGCGATAATTTCGTTTATGAAGATGTAATTTCATAACCAAACAAACACGGGAGTATTGGGTTTACAAACCATGGTCTCCAAGATAGGGATAATCACGTTATTATAACGGTGATATTGCAGTGACGATTGCGTGATTTAGTGTACGTGTGTTTTAAGTGACCTAGGTTGCGTTTATTGACACAAACGCAAAGCCTTTTTAAAAGGTCTTTAGATATGGGCATATCTAAAAACGCAAAAAGATGTGTTTTGTGTGTGACATACAGCCAGAATCACGTTTCTGAGAGATGATAAACGCAAAGCTGTTTTGAATCCCACATACAAATTGGACCACCCAGGTTAATTTCCAGTTCAGAGGCTTGCGCGCGCCATGTGTTGTGTACAAGCATGTGTGTGTAGTTGACCTCCGAGAAACTGTCTGCTTCCCGGGTCAAAACAGCTGCGCAGACACAAGGCCTTTATTTTGAATCGTGAAGAGAAGATAAACGCGACATCCCGCAAATCACTTTCGTATAGTGGGGTTCGATAGTGGGGTACGATATGTACATATCTAGTGGCAAGACCCAATAAACGCACCCCTAGTGCAATAAACGTATTAACACATTTACGTAAATGTCAGGTGTTTGAAGAACGTAACTCTCCTCAAGTCGATACCTTGATATTGACGTGATTTTCACATGATTTTGTTTATTGGGAGGGGTGAGGAGAGTGGGGTGATGTGATTTGGGCAAAGAAATGTTTTCTCCAACTTAGATCAGATATCGGATTTTACACAAATGTTCACATGTCATTTTTTTCTTGCCAGAAGCAAAGTTCATATTATCAGGACCAAAGTTTTTATGATGGTTAGGAGCGTTCGTGTATATTAGAGATCACCACAAGTGCCATTTTGGATATTCATGAGAATAACATTATGTATATTGGAATAATGGTTTGAAGCGTTGATTATATCAGTTTATATTTATTTATTTTTTTAATCATTTTCATACCTGAAGTATGAGCGTATTTCCTGGTTTAGGTCACAATGCAATTCTGATGTAAAGTAACTTTGTTATTTAATAAAATAAAGGAATTTAAATTACCCCATTACACTTGTGTGTAGTAGAGGACACCATAATGTGAATTTGTTTCTGTTCAATTCTGTATTTGGTGTGGTTTAAGATGTGGTAGGATATGTTTTTCTTCAACTTCTTTGTTGTAACTGGATTTCAAATTTGGGAAGATATATCTTGGGGGAAAACCAAGCCATGCATGTGATTGGAAATTCTCATGGGTGATGAGAAGGACGTAAAGGGAGACAAATAGAAATCTCAAATTGTCCTAAAGAATTTCTGATGTCAGTAGTATGATTATTGTGATGACGTTTAAATGTGAGTAAGTCTCTGTATATTGATTGTCAGCAATTATTATGGATTAATTCCTTTCAATCAGTAACAGTTGGAAATTTGTCTTTAAATGTTTGTGTCTTTTCAGGGATGTTTCGAATTCTACAACAAAAGTCTCTGGAAGACGGATGAAGACGGCATCGAGGAGGAGTGTGCTTGGTGTGGGCAAGGCGGTTCCCTATCCTGCTGTGACTTCTGCTGCAAGACATTCTGCAAGGATTGCATCGCTTTCAACTTGGGAACAGACGAATTGAAACGTATCTTAAAGAAGAAGTGGAGGTGCTACGTGTGTGATCCTCGCCCCCTTAAAGTATTTGTTGACGACTTCAGTGCTCTCCTTGCACAGTCTCTTGAAATAGAGCAGAAGGAGACAGAGAAGGCAAATGTTTCTGTACAGAAAAAGGGAGTGAAGGCACCTAATAAGAAGGAGAAGATGCAGGATGCAACCATAGCTGAGGAATTCCTTCAGTATCTCGTAGGGAATAACAGTAATAGGGCTCAGTTCATGAGGAGCTTGGTGCGACTCAAGAAAGAGGTGCCTGACATGCAGAACCTCCAGATGAACCTGTCCCTAAAGCACATCGGTGAGGTAAAGTCTGCCCTTGAAGAGTTTGAGGCATGTGTGAAGAGGCAGCTCCACGGCGATGCCCACAAGAGCGACTCTGCCCTTGATGGAATCAATCAAGTTGACTGTGAAAGGCCTGAGGAGAAGTCCAAGTCCCAGATGGAAGAGACACAGGTTAAAACTCAGGAGAAGGAGGAATTGGCAGGCATAGACGAGGCAAAGGAGGAGAGTGCAATGGAAACAGCAGAAGGTGATGGTGTTGATAATAATACCAAGCCCAGAAAAAAAAAGAAATGTGAACCAGAAAAGATGGAACTGAATGGAACGGCCAAATGGGGAGAAGGACCAGGAGAGGACTCAAGTAATCCTGAAGAAGAATCTGGTTTTGATGGCATTCCTGGAGAGTCTTCTTCAGGATCCTCTTGGGACGAAGGAGGAGAGAAGGAAGATAAAGTTGGGAAAGTGAAGGATTTGTCAGCAGTGACAGTCACAAGAAGCAGCAGGCATAGCTTTGCAGCAAGTGAAAGTGATTCTTCTGGGAGTAAATATGTGAACAGTGATGATAATTATACCAAGCCCCGAAGACGAAGATTAAGCAGGAAAAAGAAGAAATGTGAACCAGAACAGATGGACTCTGCCTCAGAAGAAGATATGAAACTGAAAAGGCACGAGGGCATTAGAGGCTTGAAAAGAAAATGTAACCGTGCAACTGATAGCGATGATGCTTCTGAGAATGTACCTGATGCCCAAGATAAACCTGAAGAAGGTGAAACAGAGAGTGTTGCGAAGAGAGGGGAGGAAAAGTCTGATGTTGAGAAGGAGTCTGAATCAGAAGGAAATCCATCTAAGAAAGCAAAGAAGGTCCGAAAATCTCCTGCAAAGATAGACCTCAAGAGCAGGGAGCTTCTCAGTTCCGACTCTTCTTCAGATGACGAGTCTAATGCTGAGAGTGACGGCTGTTATGGGGTGAGTTGGAAGAGTCTCAACGAGGAGTGGGATAGCCGGGAAGTGGCAGAAAACCTTCTGATGGATGAGCTAGATTGTAGTGATGAGGAGGATAATGACGATGATGATGATAAGGGTGATGAGGATGAAGAAGTGGGTGGTGCCAGATCCAAGCGGAGCAAGAAAAAGGCCGTAAAGAAGGCAGAAGAAGATGAAGAATGGAATGATGGTGAGAGACAGATTGGAACAGGAGGAGGTGGCGGAAGTAGGGATGGCAAGAATGGAGGAGATGATAAGAAGAAGAAGACGAAAAGAAAGGACCCAACTTGGGACCTATATAAGAAAAAATGGAAGGCTCAAAAGAAGGCAAAAGAAGATGAAGAATGGAATGATGGTGAGAGACAGATTGGAACAGGAGGCGGCGGAAGTAGGGATGGCAAGAATGGAGGAGATGATAAGAAGAAGAAGACGAAAAGAAAGGACCCAACTTGGGACCTATATAAGAAAAAATGGAAGGCTCAAAAGAAGGCAAAAGAAGATGTTGAATTTATTAAAAGTGAGAGACAGATTGGAACAGGAGGCGGCGGAAGTAGGGATGGCATGAATGGAGGAGATGATAAGAAGAAGAAAGGAAAGGGCCAAGATGAGAGCACCAAGAAATCACGTTCTTTGTTGGTTATCTCACCATTTAGCGAGGATGAGGAAGATGAGGAAACTTCAAAGTAAAAGAAAGGCAAGAAGGCCAAGGCAGCTCCAAAAAAAAAGGCAAAACCACAAAAAGAGGAGAAGGAGAAAGATTGAAACTGATGATTACTTTACATCATCGGAATCGGACGATGTCTCAGATGAGAAGCCAAAGCGAAAACGAGTGACGAGATCTGAGACTGTGTCCTCAAGTGAAGAATCGTCCGTGGAACTGAAGAAACCCAAGAAGAGGAGGGCGAGGAGGAAGGAACCTGGCACCAGCTCGGAGGCAGATTTGAGTCAAGAAACCAAGTCAAAAAAACGTTGGTGACGAGGCAAAGGAAAGAAGTGGAGGCGGACAAATGTAGCTTATGATTCAGACTCTGAAGAAGACTAGTATATATTAATATTTCATGTCTTCTTTTCTGAAGAAGCATTCTCTTTTTTAAGCTGTCTTAAAGACCTAATTTAAGTCTTCTTTATTTACACTTCTATTTTCATTCAGTGCTCTGAATTCTGGTTACTGATTATTCTGGTTACAAAATACTCTCTCTAGGGTATTGTTTCAGTGAAGAATTTGTGCATTTTCAATGTCTTTCTGAAGGATGCCTAAGAGATCACTATATCAAAATTTGTCAAAATTGTTAGCTATAGTATGGACTTATTTCCAAAGCAACTACTACCGGTAGGCATATTAACAAATAGGCCCTCATTTACGATGGGGAGGCTAACCAATTATTTAAAAAAAGCTGTGTTATAATTCATACGAAATGAAACCATTCCCATATGGCCTGGACAGGCACGGTTCAAGAAGAATCATTTTTTTATTTGGGGGGAGGGGCAGCTTTGGGGGCATGGAGGTTTCTTATTGCAATAATTGTTTTAAACGTACGTGACTCACTCAGATTAATTTATAATCAGGGTAAAATTGATGAGGGAGGGGGGGGGGGGGCGGCGAAGAACTTGACCCTTTAGGATAGCTCCTATTATAGCTGGGCCACCTTATAGGCGTTTCCGATGTAAAACAAGGACTCATATACACATCAGTAACTGTTATTACATTATTTACTGAATAACCAAGGACCTAGCTACTTTCCCGGTGCAAATAGGGCACTTAAATGCGCTCGCAACTATTTTTGATAAATCAACTCTAGGGCAATTTCAATACCACATTGTACATCCAATAGAAATCATGTTCGGATTACATTTTATTTGTTTTGATGTAAACATTTATTCATTTTTGCTAACAATATATATATATTTTTTTTTTTCTTGTTACTACTTTAATGTTTTGTTTTAAAAATGTATGCATTGTTATATATTTGTCCTCATTTGCTATGTTATCTTTATATATATATGTACATATGTTTTTGAATGCTTTTTATATTGATGTAAACTTGCATTTTTAGTCTTCGGACTTGTTGACAAGTAATGAATAAAACCTTATTTGAACTTGAACTTGAACTTGAATACGATGTACTTCATCGTCATGTTCGCACAAAATAGTGACACACAAGGCTAATGAAATTGCCTTATGTTGATTTTTCGAAAGTAGTTGCAATTGTGTTACGTGCCCCTCTATGCAAAATTAATTAAGGGCCTAAATTTTTCATTTACAGGGTTTACGAACCGAGGATGTCCTCGTTTTGCGAACGGTCGTCAAAGCGAAGGTACGGTTCTAATGAGTGTTCTCGGTATCCATCCACCCACGTAATCTGAAATACAGAATCTACACAACATTGAAGAAACATCCTTTGAAGAAAAAAAGTTATGCCGTATTGTCAAATGTGTATACATGTATGGTAGGCCTATATATTTTAGATCCTTTGTTGATATGAAATTAGTGTATATAGTCTCAGTTTTAAGCAAAATGATCATTTGTTATAAGGACGCCTATAATTTTTATACCATGTTATGAAGTTAAAAGTACAATTACATTAATTAGATATTAAAGTCATCTGTAGGGATTAGTTTCATTCACTTTTGTTTAAATGTAATTCAAAGTTTCATGGAAGTTTTGAAAACTGGATTGATAGTAATTCTTTATAATTCTGATATATTTGGATGCCCCTGTGGATGTATATAAGCACTAGAAAATTTAGCCCCTAAAACACTTCTGCTTTTGAGAAATTGAATAATAAAAATTTACTGGTGCTCTCTGTAAATTTCAAATAGCACCTAAGGCCATTCCATGGTAGCTGCGACCATGAAAATCTCAGAGTATGCAGTTCTGATATATAATTTCCAAATGGAAAAAGCAAATCGATCGATCGTAGTCAAGAAATATTGTTTTAGAGCTAAAGTAATATCAGTCTTTAAGGGGTTCTATACAGCATAAATGTTTATTATTTACAATTTCATCACCTTAGACTTGATTTCAACCGCGACAACGCTCCTTGAATATTGTAAAATCGCATATGCTTCCAATATGTTCATTTGAACCAAATTTTGTAATAAATTTTTAAATTTTGTAACCTTTGTACACTGACAAAAAAGGTTAATATATTATGCAAGGAACACACTTCCAAGTTAGTTGAGGTCAGCTGTTTCTGCCAAAGACCTTATGGACAGTGGCGGATCCAGGGGGGGGGGGGGACCCGGATGGTAAAAAGATAGAGCTCCATACCGCCCCCCCCCCCCGCACACAAAAAATGCTCGCCCTCCTATTATGAATAGCGACCCTCATTTCTTATTATGAATAGCGACCCTCATTTCGTATTATGAATAGCGACCCTCATTTCTTATTATGAATAGCGACCCTCATTTCGTATTATGAATAGCAACCCTCTACTCCTATTATGAATAGCGACCCTCTTCTCCTATTATGAATAGCGACCCTCTTCTCCTATTATGAATAGCGACCCTCATTTCGTATTATGAATAGCGACCTTCTCCTATTAAGAATAGCGACCCTCTTCTCCTATTATGAATAGCGAACCTCATTTCGTATTATGAATAGCGACCCTCTTCTCCTATTATGAATAGCGACCCTCTCCTCATATTATGAATAGCGACCCTCATTTCGTATTATGAATAGCGACCCTCTTCCCGTGTTATGAATAGCGACCCTTATAAGTAGTGAACCTTATTTCGTATTATGAATAGCGGTCCTTATGATTAATGACCCTTAATATGAATTATGAATAGCGACCCTCATCTCACGTTATGAATAGCGGTCCTTATGATTAACGAACCTTTTTTCTTTATGAATAGTGACCCTCTTTTACCATTATGAATAAGCGGACCAGGAAGTACAGGCTTTTACACGTTATGAATAGCGGTCCTTATGAATAGCGGACCTTATGAATAGCGGTCCTTATGAATAGCGAATAAACCCCCTCTCAGCTTATTTGGCCGGTCGGCTAAGTCGCTGCTAAATATTTTATAGGGCCCCCTCCTCGCTGCCGGCTAGATCCGCCCCTGCTTATAGATTACCGGACATTTCAGTAAAAGCATGGTTCCGTAAGACTGGTTATAATTTCCTAGAATAACTTAGTTATTGTGTGAAATTTCATGTGACTTAAATGAAATATGAAGACATGGACTACAATAACATAAAATTGAAACATTGAGGAGACTGCAAATAAATTTGAAGGAATCTGGGTGCTTTTGACCTTTAAAAAAACCTCTATTTTGTTCTAGTCGCACATCTTCCTTCCAGACATAATGTTGGATTGCATTGAATTGAATTTATTAAACCATATACATGTAAAAGCATAACATACAATAGAAAATATAATTCATAAAAAATACAAAAGGTGGACAGGACCACAAAAAAAGCAAATTCCTTATAAAAAGGGTACTCCCCACAAAATAAAAAAAATAAATCAAATGCAATTCAGTCACCATACTCACGCACACACACAGTCACACATACCTATACGAAATACTGTATTGTTACAAATCGTCCAATAGGTATTTGCGACAAAGCTTTTTAAAACGGGATAAATGTGAACTTAATTATATTGAAGTGGGTAATTAGTTCTTTTTCTTCAAGCCAGCAACATCCCATGAATTAATTGAAGAAGTAAGTCTTACTTTGGGTTGATGTAAATGAAAATATTACTATTCTCCACACGAAAAATGTTATGTCTTACAGAGTACATAAAGATTATAGTACTTAATGTAATCAGATCGTAGAAAGGCAAGATTTGCACCTGTTTAAAGGGTGGTTTTGGAATTTGCATTTGTGACTTTGTTATATTTCTTAGAGACTTTTTCTGTAAAATATACAGTATTCTTATTATCATATTATTCTCATCAATATGCTACGCTTTCAGTAATCGCTTATTATGGTTGATATTCATTAGTACATGTATACAAATTTGTTATTCAGAGATTGATTTTCAATAAAATGGCCTGTCGAAGGGTAAAAAAAAACACTTTTGAGTCGTGTCGTATCGTTGTAGGAAATGGTCCTAAGTTTGAAAACACATGGGGTACCGTAGGCCTAAGTGTACAATACCATTGTAAGGGTGGATGAAGTGAGATATTTGCATGTATTTTTCTTAAAATTACTGTACCCGAAATTTAAAAAGAAGGAATAAAGATATGCTTTTCGTATTTGTTTCATTTTTTTAGGCCGACATCCTAGTCGAGCATCGCTTATGATTGCCGGTCTCCTGCACTTTTTATATTTCATATTTATAAGAACATGTTATAACAAACATTAAGTTTCGTTATAGCATGTATATACGTAGAAAACATTTTGACATGATGCTATTATTGTTTGTATATTTTGTATGATGCATTTCGTTTATGTCTTCTTTGTTATTCAATTCATTTGGAAAATGCAGAAATGAAATAAAATCAGATCAAAAACATAAAATTGGCAAACAGCGAGTAGATTACGTTAGTATCATGTATAGGAGCATAATGCACGTTATATAATGGTTCAGAGGCGGTGCTCCCAGGGGGGTAGGGGGACAAAGTGCTCCACTTTTCCAAGTACCCCAAAAGTGCCCCTTGTTACTTCAGATAAGTGCCCATTTTATTCCCTATGCTCTGATAAGTGCCCCTACTCAAATCTCAGAGGTGCCCCTTTTACTTTGACAAGTGTCAGTTTTCCTGAGTAATAATTAAACATTTTCACTTTTTTATAAGAGCCCCTTCCCCTTCTCATAAATGCCCCTTTTCGCCTCTTATAATTAAATGCCCCTATTTAAATCTTAATGCCTCTTTCCCGTTCTTGAAAGTGCCCCTGCCTTTTTAGGTACGAGAAGTGCCCCTTTTCACGTACTGTGATATTTGTCGTCTCATTTCTAACCCCATCCTTAATCAAACCTTGGAATGACAAGTTCTCTCACTTAATTCGAGAGGATAATAAAGTTCTACTTGAGTTTTAAAAAAAGAAGATTGAAGCTCGCTTCCCTCCCCCATTAAGCAAAAACACGGTCTGCGCAATTTTCAAATTTCCGCCCCCCCCCCCCCCCCTCATTGGAAAATCTTGGATCCGCCACTGATCAGGCCCATCTTCATGTTCATTCCAGCAAAGACTGTTATGACAAGAAAACATTAAGAAAAAGACATGGATACTTTTCCCCCTCATTGATACTTTATAACAACAGTTTAACCAAGGAATATGAAAGCTTCGCTTGAAGAATGTCAGATAGTAGGCCTACCAGAGGCGGACCTCCCGGGGGCGCAGTGCCCCCCACTTTTTCAACCACCCGAAAAGTCCCCCTCTTTACCTAGGAAAGGTGCCCCTTTAACTTTCTAAGAAGTGCCCCTTTTTACATAGGAATAGTGCCCCTTTTACTTTGACAAGTGCCCCTATTAATTTGTATACGTGCCCCTTCCCCTTTTCAACTCGGATAAGTGCCCCTTTTATTTGGACACGTGCCAATTTTCCTTTGCAATAAGTGTCCATTTTCCATTCTCATAAGAGCCCTTTTTAATCTCTAGTAAGTAGGTGACCCTAGTTAGGTACGAGAAGTGCCTCTTTTCACTTTTGATAGGTGCCCCCTTCACCTCTGATAATGGTTCTATTTAAATCTGAGAGGTGCCTTTTTTACTTTGACAAGTGCCCCTTTTCCTATGTAAGAAGTCCCATTTTAATAACTACCCCCATTTTAACTCGGATAAGCGCACTTCATATTTTCACATGTGCCCTTTTCCCTTTCGAATAAGTGCCCTTTTCCTAATTGATAAGTGCCCCTTCTCCTTCCCATAAGTACCCCTTCTCTGGTAAATGACCCTTTTCAGGTACGAGAAGTTACTCCTTTTCACTTCAGACAAGTGCCCCCTTCACCTCCGATAAATACCCCTTTAAAATCTGATCGGTTCCCAGTTTCTTTTAACTAATGCACATTTTCCTTTATTACAAGTGCCCCTTTTTCATTCACATAAGTGCCCCTTTTCATATCTGGTCATTGCCCCTTTTCAGGTGCGATAAGTGCCTATTTTCACCTCTGATAATTCCCCCTTTTACAATATATAATATCTTATAAATGCCCCTATCAAAATCTGATGGGGGCCCCTTTTCCGTCGACAAATGCCCATTTCCTATTCTCATGACTGACTTTTTCATCTGTTAATTTCTTTCCTGATCATGTGTCCCCTTTTCCTCTCATCAGTAAACGCGAACTAGCGACTAAGAGCAATTCCCCCCAAAGCTCGCTCGCACATATCTATAGATGATATACTTATGTTAATTATCAAAGGTCTGTTCAGTCTTCCGTTATGAGAATGTGCTTTTAACCCCGTTAGGATTGGGTTTTTTCCTCTTTATAAGATGTAATTTTTCGCACTGCGACCTCACACATCTTAAAAAATTTCCTCCCTCGTTCGCAAACAGTTTTTTAGACAATCAAACCAACCTGCAAAGCATGATGCTTAAGCAATATCTTGGATGGTGTGTAAAGTGAAACAAATATTGAAATCCACCCTGATAATGGTAATCACAATGTAGGGGTAAATACCAATTTTCAAAACATTGTATATTTTCGCTTTGAGATTTCCCTTTGTAGATGCCCTTTTTTCATGGTGCCCCCCCCCCCCCCCCCCATTTTGGAAGTCGCTCGGCCTCCCCTGAGGCCTACACGTAGAAAACGTTCAGACATATCGATGTAGCAAGATATTTTGTCCTTTCGACTTCTATATGCAATACGATTCGAAAGGGAATAATATGTCTTCATTGTTGGGTTAAACATTACACAGTGTAACTTTCTATAATAAATCGTGTTTGTGATTAAGAAACGTGAGAGAAACCAGTTTAAGTCCCTCAAATTCAACCGTTTTTTCTGCCAAATTCATGGTGCATTTTGTTTAATGTGTAGACTTGTACGAATATGTACCTGCCGGAAACTGCGTTTTGAAGCAGATGACACAGTTACTTTTAATATTGAGCCCCCCCCCCTCCCCAACCAGTTAGGCCTACCCCCCCCCCCTCAGGGGGCCAATGGGGCCACGCTGGGAACTTTTAAGAACACCTTTTATTCTTCACCTAAGAAGGTATACCTTAACTGTTACACCTTTAAGTTTAGCCCTTTCTGGCCCTCACCCTGGGTCCGTATGTCCACGTTTGCCATTTAGATGATTCCTGCCAAGTTTGGTTAAAATCTGACCATGCGTTTTTAGAAAAATGAAGAAAATGTAAAAGTTTTACGAAAGGGTGAACTTTAAAAAAAAACCTAATTAATAACGGATTATGGTAGTATTTGGGTCAAAAATAGATCAAGAAGGAACAACAGAAGTGATTTTTTTTTTTTTTTTTTTTTTTGAGACTTGAAAGTAACTAGGTAAAGGTAAAGAAGGAAGAAAATAAAGCACCGCTGAAATAATGACTGCAGATCAGCCTTCGTTAATCTTTTTCGATAAGACTAACATGCATCAGCCTTTTATCTGTTTTACAACAGCCTGTGCCTGCGCCTGTGACGAAAGAAAGTAAAGGGTCTGCATTGTGAGACCATGAAAAATGCTACACGGGGATTTCCCAGTCATGGCGTCACTGGTTACTACAGCATGTGCATGATCTTGCCAGCCTAACGCCGCCGTGCAGTTCACGTGCACGCCATTATTATTGCACCATTTCCTCTGATGATTCCAACATCGAGATTGGACAATTTTGTATCGTAGTTTGCTCACATTCAACTTTCAAGACAACACTTTTGCTTCAGTGAAACATGAAAAGTTCTTTGCTTATTTCAGATCATTCAAAGATACCATGTTCATAGTAACCTTGACCTAAAGTAAAGCCCAAGGTCATCATGCAGAGCATATTTTCATTGATGTGACCTGATATTTTAGTTCGTCAGACGATAATTTTGAGGTCAGAATTCCGGATTTTGGCAGATGGCAATTGGTTTCCAGAGTCGCTAGTTTTATCCGCGAAAGAAGTGAGTATATTCATATACAGCTTAGATCGAGTTAGATAGGTGCATGATGATCGAATATAAATGGGAGAAAAATATTGATTAATGTGTGTGTGCACATTCAAGTACGAATTGTGTGAATACAAAATCGTTTTGTTTTTTATGAACTGTAATAATGCAAACAGCACATATCTTTTGACTTCATGAGGTACATTTATGTTTTATATTTTATATTATTTTCTATTACTTTAATTGTTCTACCTGCTAATTTAATTAGCTCCACCCCTAAAAAAAAACCTCTAAAAGCAAATGCAAAAGGACAGAGGGCGCTATGCAGCAAGGAACATGTTTAATATTAGGGCTCTAGACTGAGATGTTTTTAGGGTCAAAATTTCACCATTTGTGGGAAGACTGGAACATAATAGTGGATATTCAAGGGTTCTGAGTATCTGGACAATCAGGATTTAGGAAGATTGAAGCAGGATGGCCAGTTCTTCAGCTTGATTTTAATGGATATTATTCAGCAAACTGTATGTATACTTGGCTATGCTGCTCTTAGCACTATCCCATTCATTCATTTTGGTGTGAGAAGGATCAGGCTTCATCTGCCTAGAATGATATGTCTTGGGGATGACTTAACATTGTGACCAACCTTGTTATTGCCAGAACCTTAACAATACTTATGCACATCATTATAAATGCATATCTATTTTGGGGTTTTTGAGTGGATGTTTGGAAGATTGACTTAGCCTTATTTGTACTTGATCAAGGAAATCCAAATCAAGTTTTTTCAAATTCAAGTTTGAGTTATAGATCTATATTGGTTGTTTAAATACATCATCAGCTATGGATGATCTGCGAAGTAAACCTCACACTAGATCCTCATCAAGTAGCGCCGTTAATACAGAGACCCAACCTAAAATCCTGGAAAAACCTGCTAACTTAAAGGAGACGTCGGCTACTACTAGGTCTAGGGGTCAGGGATCTCACACAGAGAATGATAAGCCTAGAACAGGCGGAAGTCCCGGCCGAATGTGTGGTGGAGCCTGTAAATCACAACTCATTAGTGGAAAGGACAGCATCGAATGTGAGCGATGTGAAAAATGGTTCTGCTTGAAATGCAGTGCCTTGTCGTTGGAAGAGTTTGGATTATTCACCAAGGTGAATGCAGCTCACTGGTTCTGTCCTCCATGTGAATTTAAGGCCTTGGAAGCTGTCAAAATGGACCAGATTGTTGAGGAACGGTGCAAGAAATTTCTCGGAGAAACACAGAAAAGACTTGAAAAACTTGAACAAATGAGCAACGGTTGGTCTAAGGTGGAAGAGTTATGCAAGCGGCTTGAATCTGACGTCAAAGAAATCAAGAGCTCCCTTACAGATAAGCAGAGAATGGAACCAAGTGACATAGCTCAAGATGTCCTGGCATCATCTGTCCAGTCAATCTTCCAAGATTGTGTTAAGGAAGAAAGTGAAAAAGATAAAAGAAAACATAACATAGTTGTCTATGGACTGGCAGAAAATGATTCTGAGGACGGCAAAGAGAGGCAGTACTATGATACAGCCTCTACCCGAGGGATGCTCGATTACCTGGAAATCGAAGGAGAGGTGAAACGTGTGATTAGATTGGGAAGAAGGCAACTGGATGCAAGCGAAACTAGCTCGAGACCAAGACCGGTGCTTGTGGAATTCTCAAATGCAGACTCCAGTGCGGAAGCAAAGAGGAAAGCTAGTAAGCTTCGCTTTGGACCAAAAGACTTTAAAGAGTTATATATCCAAGCAGATCTCACAAAAACAGAACGTGCAGCAAGGAACGAACTCGTCAAGGAAATGAAAAGGAGGAAGAGTGAGGGTGACAACAACTGGATGATTCGGGGTGAAAAACTTGTGAAGAGAAAGGATCCCTCATCTCAGCCAAGCAACAAAGGTAAACAAAAAGGCCCACAGCCTTTTCAGGATGCCTAACACAGCAGTCAACCCAGGAAACTTTTCAGATGTAAATAGTATTATTAATAATAGACATTTAACTTGTATGTACAGCAATGTAGATTCTTTACTCAACAAGAAATCAGAACTAGAAGCAAGAATCTCTGTGAGGAACCCAGACATCATAGCCTTAGTTGAAATATTTCCAAAGAACTTTTTTCATCCAGTTGAGGATTGTGAACTTCAGATTGGTGGATACAATATGTTTTTGCCAGCAGAAAGTCAGAGAGGAGTTATAATTTACTGCAAAAAGAACTTACAATCAAAGCAAGTAGTTTTCAAAGACAGTGACTTCATGGAAAGTGTATGGAAAGTGTATGTACCAAGATTAAGAAAGCAACCAACACAAAGTGTCCTCTCTGCAATCTTGAGGAGGATACCGTAGTTCACGTTGTGGCTTCCTGCTCGACTACTGTCAACCTTCTGGAAGACCTTATCGACAGAGCCAGTAGACTCCTGCATAATGTCCTCGACTCTGCACCAAATACACCACTGCTCAACACCCAGGACCCTTCCCATCTGACTTGCGCTATTCTCTTGCCATATGATCCATACCTTCCCTCCACTGTCAATGATTCTATTTTAAAGATGACACTTCACTATCTTTACAAAATTCATGCCCATCGCCTGCACTCCATACCCTCCAACTAAGGATTTTATAACATATTTACAGCAGCCTACTACTTCGAATGCGATATACTCGCTGATCTCCGAAAAGCGGAGGGACAACAACAGAGAGAGGTGTGCAATTTCATCAGGATCAGAGTATTTTCTCTTTGGATGTGTCTACAGAAGCCCAAATAGTTCGGACCCAAATAATGAGGCTCTCTTGAAACTCTTTTATGAGATAGAAAATTCTCCTTACACAAATATATTCATTGTTGGAGACTTTAACTTACCAAAGATAGATTGGGATATTCTGTCTGTATCGGGAACTGGAAATAAATTTGCCAGAGACTTTGTGGAAGTTCTACAAAATCTGTATCTTTCACAACTTGTGGAAGAGCCCACTAGGATGAGAGACGGGCAGAAGTCCAACGTTCTAGACCTCGTCATTACAAACCAAGTAGACATGGTCGACTGTTTAGGGATATCACCACCGATTGGTAAAAGTGACCACATGGTGCTAGATTTCAGACTTTTTCTGCCTGGTGGGGTTACAAGTGTACCTGTAACAGAACGCTTTGCATTCTTCAAAGGAGATTATGAGAGTATGAGGAAGCATGGGAAAGTAAAAGATATGTTTGTTTCAGCAATGGTGCAGGACAGCGATGTTAATACGGATAATGACATTCTTGTACATTGCTTGGAAGAGTTAACAGCCAAGTTTATACCAAAGGTCAAAGCCAGGAATAATCAGCAGCCACTATGGATGAACAACGATGTACGTCAAGCAATCAAATGTAAACATAAAGCTTGGAACCGTTTCCAAAAATCTAGAAGTGAGTCCGACAGAGTATCCTACAATATAGCAAGAAATGAGGCAACCGATAAAGTAAACATAGCAAAGAAGTCATTTGAACGTAAGCTGACCTTAGAAATAAAATCCAATCCTAAAAGTTTTTGGAGATATGTACAAAGTAAAAACAAATTTAAACAGGGTATTGGTGACTTGGAAAAGCCTGATGGAACCCTTGCAAGCGATGATGCAGATAAAGCAGAAACACTGAACTTATTCTTTGCATCAGTCTTTACTAAGGAGGATTTATCTCTTGTACCAGCCCTTGATCTGAGAATTCGTGACAAGCAACTGGATACGGTCTGTTTTAATTATGAAAATGTCAAAAAAGCTATCATGAGATTGGACCAATCAAAATCTCCTGGACCAGATAACATTCACAATCGCATCCTGAAGGAATTAGTGGACGACATTTCCCGGCCACTTGCCCATCTTTTTAACAAATCTATGTCGAGTGGCGTGGTATGTGACTCATGGAAAGAAGCCAATGTGACTCCTATTTTTAAGAAAGGAGATAAAAAGAAAACAGGAAATTATCGTCCAGTCAGTCTAACCAGTTCTCTTTCCAAACTAATGGAGACCATTGTACGTGATGAAATTGTCAAATATATGAATGAGAACTCTCTGTTCACGGAGGAACAGTACGGATTTAGAAGAAGTAGATCTTGTGCTACACAGTTGCTAAATGTTTCTGAAACCTGGACAAAGGAATTAGACAACAAGGGAAGTATTGACTGTATCTACTTGGATTACAGCAAGGCCTTTGACAGTGTCCCACATGCTAGACTTCTGAAAAAAGTAGAGGCCTACGGTATAACAGGTAATCTGCATAGATGGATCAAGTCTTTCCTGACTGGAAGAACTCAGCGGGTAGTTATAAACGGTACCCCATCGAGTGCATCAAAAGTTGTCAGCGGCGTAGCTCAAGGAAGCGTGCTGGGGCCGACACTGTTCTTGTTGTATGTTAATGACATTCCAGATATTATATGTAACACTGAATCAGAAGTCAAACTATTTGCAGATGACACCAAAATCTTCTCACCAATTCACTCTTCATTGGATGGCAAAAATCTACAAGCAGATCTAACAAAGCTCACAAAATGGTCCCATCAGTGGCAACTACCATTTAATCAAGAGAAGTGCAAGGTAATCCACTATGGTCGAAGAAATCCTTGTTATGATTATTTCATGTCAGACGAAGATATACCTATTCCTGCCGTTGAAGTAGAAACAGACCTTGGGGTAACCTTTGACCAGCAATTGAGGTTTTCACGTCATGTGGATGGAGTATGTGCTGCTGCAAATCGCAAGCTAGGGATTATCAAGAGGACATTTTCTAATTTGGACAAAACAGGCTTTATACATCTATACAAATCAATTATTAGACCAAGACTCGAGTATTGCTCAACGGTGTGGCATCCTGTATTGAAAAAAGACAGCACGAAAATAGAAAAGGTACAGCGTAGAGCAACACGCCAAATACACATGCTACGACACTTGAGCTACGAGAAGAGACTAAAACATCTCAACTTACCATCTCTTGCCTACAGACGCCATAGAGCAGACATGATACAGATATACAAAATAATGCATGGCCTAGATGAACTAGATCTAGCACACTTCTTTGACCATCCAACTGATAATAGAACCCGTGGCCATCGATACAAGATCGTTAAGAAGAAAGTCTACTCGAAGCTTAGACATGGATCATTTTCACAGAGAAGTATCAATGAATGGAACAACCTCTCCTCTGTAGTTGTGGAGAGCAAGTCACTAAACAGATTTAAATCCAATTTGTTGAAGTTTTGGTCAACAAGAAAAGATCAATTTGACCCAGAGGAGTCCTTTGCTTGTCCATGTTCGTCAATTGCTGTATAGCGCCACTAAACATGTGCCAAAATATGGATTCTTCATCTGAATGTCAACGAGAGGCAAATAAGTTTTTAACTTTAAATGCCTACTTCCAAGGTATATTTCCAAGGTATATTTGTCACATGCCAGTTTACAGCCATTCATCAGTCAGCTAGATAAACAAAATACATTGCTATGTCCCTTCCTATCAACTGACCACATGTTCACAATAGCATTGCATGTTTGTATACAATGCCCACTCGCAAAATTCAATAACATTTTAAGCAGGTGCTATGTCAGAAATCCCCAAGCAAAACCATGAAAAGAACATGCGATGCTAATGCAATAAGGATTAAGGTACTCAATCATGGGTGAGGACATATCACTGTCTTTTGTGAACAGGTGGTCAGTTGATCGAACCACAGAGAACCAGCAACGAGATGCTGCCACGACGACGTAGCAAATGCCTATGAAATCCAATTAGCATCTTCTTTTAATAATTTACTGCTATGTAGGTGTCGTCAATTGTCAATATAGTAGCGATTTTGAGTGAACTTGGTTGATTTTGTAAAGTGGTGTTTGAAATGTTGAGACTAATAGGTCCTGTGTCAGTTTTAATACACAAAAAGTATACTCATGCTGCTATGTGTGCTTTTCACCTCTTATAAGTGCCCCTTTTATTTTGACACTTGCCCCTTTTCCTTTATAATAAGTACCATATTTGCTTTGAATCCTTCAGGAGAGTGCCCCTTTTTCTTTTTTGATATAAGCCCCCTCCCCTTTTCAAAATGCCCCTTTTTACAACTGATAAATACCCCTATTAAAATCTTATGAGAGCCCTTTTCCTTCAACAGATTTCTCATTTCCTCCAACTTGATCAGACCTCAGTTTTTACACAGATGTTCACATATCACTTTTGTATATTGGAATAACAGTTTGAAGTGTAGAGTATATCAGTTTATATTTAAAAAAAAAATCTTTTTCAGACCTAAAGTATGGGCGTATTTGCTGGCTTAGGTCACAATGAAATTCTGATATAAAGAACTTTGTAATTTAATAAAATGCAAGAATTTAAATCACCCATAACACTTGTGTGTAATAGAGGACACAAATATCTGCATTTGTTTCTGTTCAATTCTGTATTTGGTATGGTTTAACAGGGCAGATCTAGCTTTTTGCCAGGGGGGGGGGGGGGGGGGGGGGGGGGGGGGGTGACATAGTGGCGGATCCAGGATTTTCCAAAAATCGCGCCATTTTACTATTTTACTTTTTCTTCTTCTTTTTTCCCTTTTTTTTCCTTCCTTTTTTCTCTCCTTTTTCCCCCTTTTTTCTCACTTTGCCGTCCAAGGGGGGGGGGGGGGGGTTTAAACCGCCAAAAAACCCTAGATCCGCCCCTGTTTAAGATGTGGTAGGATTTGTTTTTCTTCAACTTCTTTGTTGAAACTGGATTTCAAATTTGGGAAGATATATCTTGGGGGGGGGGGGGGGGGAGGTAGCCAAGCCATGTGGTTGAAAATGCTCATGGATGATATGAAGGACCTACATGGAGACAAATAGAATTCTCTAATTATCCTAGATAAAGATATTCTGATGTCAGTGATATGATTATTGTGATGACGTTTAATATGTGAGTAAGTGTCTTGTCTATGGATTGTCAGCAATCATTATTGATTCACTCCTTTCAATCAGTAACAGTTGGAAAATTGTCTTTAAATTTGTTGTCTTTTCAGGGATGTTTGGAATTCTACAACAGAAGTCTTTGGAAGAAGGATGAAGACAACATCGAGGAAGAGTGTCGTTGGTGTGGGCAAGGCGGTTCCCTATTCTACTGTGACTTTTGCTGCAAGACATGCATTCTGCAAGCAGTGCATCATGCACACATTTGGAATAGACGAATTGAAACATTCTCCTTGCATGGTCTGTTAAAACAGAGCAAAAGTAGAAAGAGAAGGCAAATGTTTATGTACACAAGAATATAGTGAATCCACATGAGAAGGATAAGATGCAGGATGCAGCCATAGCTGAGGAACTTCAGTTTCTTTTAGGGAACATCAGCAATGAAGCTCTCTTTATGAGGAACTTGGTGCGACTCAAGAATTCAATGCCTGACATGCAGAACCTCCAGATGCTTCTAAAGCACATCGGCAAGGTCAAGTCTGATCTGGGAGAGTTTGAGGCCTGTGTGAAGAAGCAGCTCCACGGCGATGCCCACAATAACGATTTTGTCCTTGATGGAATTCCTGAAGGGTCTTCTACAGGAGCCTCTCAGGACGAAGGAGGGGAGAAGGAAGATAAAGTTGAGAAAAAGAAGGACTTGTCTGCAGTGACAGTCACAAGAAAAAGCAGACATAGCTCTGCAGCGAGTGAAAGTGAATCTTCTGAGGATAGTGATGATAATACCAAGCCCCGAAGAAGAAATTTAAGCAGGAAAACGGAGAAATGTGAACCAGAAAAGATAGACTATGCCTCTGAAGTAGAAATGGAACTGTATGGAACGGCCGAAAAGAGAGAAGAACCAGGAGAGGAATCAAGTAATCTTGAAGAAGAATCTGGTTTTGATGGAATTCCTGGAGATTCTTCTTCCGGATCCTCTTGGGACGAAGGAGGGGAGGAGGAAGATAAAGACTCTGCCTCTGAAGAGGAAATGGAACTGAAGAGGCATAAGAGCATTAGAGGCTTGAAGAGAAAATGTAACCGTGCAATAGATAGCGATGATGCTTCTGAGAATGTACCTGATGCCCAAGACTTGAATAATAGTGAGAGGAGACAGAATGGAACAGGAGGAAGCGGCGGAAGTAGGGATGAAAAGAATGGAGGAGGTTATAAGAAGAGGAAGAAAAGAACAGGCCCATATAAGGGCTCCAAGAAATTACGTCCTTGGGAAAAGAAGAAGGCCCAAAAGAAGACAAAAAGAAGGGACCCAAATCGGGACCTATATAAGAGAGCCAAGAAAAACAAAAATTCGCGCAAGAAGAGGGCTCAAAAGAAGGCAAAACAAGATGAAGACTGGACTGATGGTGAGAGACAGATTGGAACAGGAGGCGGTGGAAGTGGGGATGGCAAGAATCGAGGAGATGGTAAGAAGAAGAGAGGAAAGGGCCATGATGAGGGCACCAAAATACCACGTCCTTTGTTGTACATCGAGATCTCCACATCCAGCGACGATGACAAAGATGAGGACACTTGAAAGGCAAGAAGGCCAAGGCAGCTCCACAGAAAAAGGGCAAAGCCACGAAAAAGAGGATAGAGATTGACACTGATGATTACTTTACATCATTAGAATCAGACGATGTCTCAAATGAAAAGCCGAAGTGAAAACCAGTAACGACATCTGAGACTGCGTCCTCAAGTGAAGAATTGTCCGTGGATGAGGACACCAAGAAATCATGTCCTTTGTTGCGCATCGAGGCCTCCACATTCAGCGAGGATGAGGACACTTCAAAGAAAATGAAAGACAAGAAGCGCAAGGCAGCTCCACAGAAAAAGAGCAAAGCCACAAAACAGTAGAGAAGGAAAAAGATTGACACTGATAATTACTTTACATCAGGCGCGGATCCACGGGTGGCCAACGGGCCCGCCCACCCCCCCCCCCCCCCCCCCCCCTGGCCAAAAAAAGAAAAAAGATTCGCTCGAAGAAGAAGAAAAAAAAATGAGTGTTTCTTCCCCCCCCCCCCCCCCCACCCACCCACTTATTCACCGGCTGGCTGAGTCGCCACTAAATATATCCTTAAAAATTGGACCCCCCCCAAAAAAAAAATAAAAAATTAGAGCTCTTACCCTCTTAAAATTATAACGTATTGTGAAATGTGTATACATGTACTTATCGTAGGCCTATATATTTTAGACCCTTTGTTAATATGAAATTAGTGTATAGTTTCAAGCAAAATGATAATTTGTTATTAAGGACGCCTTTAAGTCTTGTAACATTAACTTTTAATGCTATGATGTAAAAGTACAATTACGTTAATTACATACCGGTATTAAAGTCATTTGTAGGGTTTAGTTTCCTTTATACCCGTGTTCCCTGACTAAAATTTTAATATATTATACATGGAAGCCAAGGTACAATTACTTCCGAGTTAGTTGAGGTCAGCTATTTCTGCCAAAGACCTTAGAGTACAGGACATAACAGTAAAAATGTGCTTCCGTAAGATTATAATTCCTAGTATGACTTTGTAATTGTGTAAAATGTGGCGTAAATGAAATATGAAGACATATGAACTACAATAACATAAACTCAAAACATTGAGGAGACTGCGAATAAATTTCATATAGGAGTGCTTTTGACCTTTGAAATTTTTAGAATTTTTTTTTATCTTTGATAAAAAATTGATAAATTTTGAGAGGATTTTGATCATTTAGTATTATTTCATTGAATGTTCTCAAATTAATTTCAGTCTTGATGTTGCATTGTTCTATACAGTATTATTATCATATTATTCTTATCAATATGCTACACTTTCAGTAATCACTTATTATGGTTGACATTCATTATGTATATCTTATTCTGAAGTATTATATAATATTCAAATGTTATTTAGAGATTGATTTTCAATATAATGGCCTGTCGGAGGATCCGAAAAATGGAGAACAAAAAATAAAGAAACTTGTGTCGTTGAAGGAAATGATCTATAAAACATCCTAATTTGAAAACCCACAGGGCACCATTTTGACCTAGATACCTATAGTAAAGGACAGTGATAACAGCAAATATTTGAAGCCCCCCCCCCCCACCCCCAACCTAAGAGGGGTGATATACTTTTTAAAAAAAAATTTCATATAAAGCAACACATTATTCCTCAATAGGAAAAGATAAATAAATATTTGTATGTAACATGGAATGGATATTAGTAACTGGTGATCCGGGAGACGGGGCAAAAACTGTTATCAAATGACCAAGTAATTAGCGTAAGCACAATTGTAAAGGTGGATGGAGCGAGATATTTGCATGAGATGTTGATTTACTGTGGGTTTCTTCTCTCTACTGTTTATCATGGCAGTCACTCGCCGTCGCCGTCGCCGTTGCCGTCAGTTATTCAATGCAAATTCTGTTAAGCAGTTAAAGAACCTTTCCAAATTTTGTAAGATCATTGTGTTTAATTTTGGATACTTTGTTTTGTCCTTTTTAATACCTTAAGAGTTGTGGTTGGTTGTTGCCGTTTTTAGTAGCATAGTGTACATACATGTATATAGCAGTGTTAGTACTGCCAGTTGAGATGTAGGGTATCATGTATTTTTTTTAAAGTAGATCTATATCCTTAAAGGTAATACAAAGTTTTGGTATAGAGTCATGAATTTTGTTCAAATGAACATATTAGAAGCATATGCGATCCTACAATATTCAGTGATCGTTGTCGCGGTTGAAATTGAGTCTAAAGTTATGAAATTGTAAATAATAAACTCTTTATGTTGTATAGCTCCCTCTCAAGGTCAATATATGAGTAAAGCTATAAAACAATGTTTCTTGACTGAAATCGACCGATAAGCTTTTCCCGTTTAAAAATGATATATCTCATCTACATATTCTGAGATTTTCATGGTCACAGCTACTATTGTACAGCCGTAGGCGCTATTTGATGTTTATCAACATTTACCGGGAGCACCGGTAAATTTTTATATTCAATTTTTCTCGAAAACAGAAGTGTTTTAAGGGCTAAATTTTCTAGTGCTTATAAAACATCCACAGGGGCATCCAAATATATCAAAATTGTAAAAAATCACTATCCACCCAATTTTCAAAATTTCCCAAAACTTTGTATTACCTTTAAGCTTGCCTTCATTTGTTCATTGTTCACTGCCAAAGATTTTCTTTTTTTTAAAGATTTTCTCTGTGTGTTTAAAAAAAAATCAACTGTATTTCTTCCATGCCCCAGAAGGGGCCGTTAAAGAAATAAAAAATCATTGTCATTGTCATTGATCATCCTCAGGCTCATTCATCATGGCAGTCGACGTTCCTCGTATGGCTTCTCTTCAGTCCTTGAAATTGAATCCTTTCTTGGTATTCAGAGTCTGGGCTAAGTCGAAGTATAAACTTTAAATCTACAGAATCATAGTATTTGATCAATACTCTCAAAAACTCTGAGAAGACAAACATTAATTTAAACCTCATATCATGATGTTATTACATGATACTGAAGTATTGAATGCAAACGACACTGATATGATGTGTCCTATGTGAGTTACATTAAATTGAATCCTAAAATATATTTCTGGAATACTTTGGTATCATTATTCAGGGTTGTTGATTAATGAGTTAATTCAGTCGAGCAATTGGACGTAACAATGACCTTCAAGAACACTGAATTACTTTCACTGTCACAATACATCCATCCCTGAATACACCCTTTCATGATCACATTGACATGGGCGTAATTTGATGTCAGCGCATGCGCACTCTTGTAATCATGAAAGGGTGTGTTCTCTTCCTCCTCCTCATAAATAGCAAAATCTCAATAAAAATTATAGACAATTAAGACGTAGCAAATCGCCTGTACAAGGTTTTATTAACAAAAATTACATACATGTGAAAGGAGAAAGGTTTTTTCAAGATATTTGCCATATGCATAGTTGAGCATACTTTGAAGATTGTAAGTCATATGGTAAACAATGGATGGAGAAATAGATGGATAACCTAAAAACATGGGACCATGGACGTGTTGATGCTCGAGGAATTTGTTTTATGGTTGACATATCTCTCCATTCTCTTTGTTTTTGTAATTTGTATTACCAAAACAAACGTGATAGACAAACTGACTTCACAATGCCCATGCAATAACTGTGAATGTCCTATGAATTTCTAAATATTTGCCTGAAAGGTTTATGAGCACAAAATGAACAGAAATAGTTCTCTTTATTGACACATAAGGTAAGGTATAATTGCCCATGATGCAGGGTTCGACCCCAAACTGAGGCACTTTGAACTTTACAATCTTAGTCATAAGAAGGGGGAGGGGAGTTGCACAGTAAGTACTTGATATGATTTAACATACAAGTCTCGTACACTTCTTTCACATTTAAAATGTCAGTCCCATACACTCAATTCCATGCTGTCACATCAGGGTGAAGAATTAGGTCAGATATAGATGTATAATGTAGAACTCCAATCCCATTTGTTCTTTTTCTATCCCTGGTCCTTTAGAAGAGGGAAGGTGTAGATCAGATTTAGAATATTAGTAAACTATACTCCTTCTTTCCACACCTTAACCATAGCAAGGTGATTAAAAGTGTAAGTCCCCATATTTTTTTTTTCCATGTCTAGTCAAAAGTAGGTGAAATGGTAGCTATAGTTTAGTACACCAGTCCTATACAATCCATCCAATTTATAGTCGCAATGGTGACGGGAATACAATCTATAACTTAAGTCCCACACATTCTCTTTCATGCATTGTGAAAGCAGATCGTGGATCATATTCTAATTTCGATCCCACATACTCGCTTTGTTGTATGGTCAAAGCAGGAAGGAGGAATCGAGTAACATTTATCGTCTCATTCCATTCAAAACATCATGGCTTCAAAGCCCTCTTCAAGGAACCTCTTGTAGATGCTCATAAACTTGGCAACGAATGCTTCCAGATGATAGATGGCCTTGTTGCCCTGCTGCATGCGATGCTCGTAGAAAGCAGCCTGGTGGGTTACCTGTGTCTTTAGTTGACCATCACAGTTCTTGAGCAGCTCTCGAAGAAGGCCCTTATAGAAAAAAAGAACAAAAAATTCTACAAATTTGAGCAAACATTCAAGTTCTCATGAAGTCTATTGAAGTCACTTGGCATACCTGAATATTGATGCATTCCCTGTGAAGGTAATAAGCATCTGACACAGTTTTTCCCCAGAAATAATACCAACTGGGTGAAATTTACCTCTTGTGACCCCCCCCCCCCCCTCCACCTTTTGTAGCACACTTTCTTAATTAGCACAATCTTAATTATCCCTGGACAACTAATCCTGAGAAATTAGTAGTAGTAGCAGCAGCAGTGGTCATTGTCATAGACTTCATAGTGGTAGTGTAGTAGTAGCGGCAGCAATGGTCGTTGTCATTGTCTTCATAGTGATAGTAGTAGTGTAGTGTAGTAGTAGTAGTAGTAGTAGTAGTAGTGTAGTAGTAGTAGTAGTAGTAGTAGTAGTGTAGGAGTAGTAGTAGTAGTAGTAATAATAGTACAAGTTGTACAAATGCACTATTTTTATTTTACCTTGAGGATGACATCGGCCGGGATGCAGTGGGTCAAGAGTTCATACATACGACCCCTGACCTCTAGCAGTTGCCGAGGGCTCTGTTGCTGGATGATATGGTTGGCCGTGTCTCTGAGGAACACCTCCCAATCAGCCTCAGGGATGTCCTGGTCAGCACTGAATGGATACCTGATCAAAGAATAGAGAAACTTTCTTTAGCTTTGGATGGTTCCATAATGATAGTGGTGGTTATTTCACCTGACTGCTAAGAAAGCAATAAATGCTTGTTATAGTAAGCAACCAGAAGACAGACGGCCTAAGGTCCTCTCTGAGGGACCTGGTAATGAGGATTAATGCCTTACCAAAGGGCACTAGCGCATCGACTTGGTTTCGAACCGGGTCACCGGATAACGAGACCACTGCTCTACAGACTGAGCTATCGCGCCTCCTCAAGGTTGATAAAGGTTTCCAAGTGCATTACAGATATAATACCATTTATCGGATTCAGGCTAACCCGCATACAGATTCTGCACTGCCCGGGTAGCCTTGTGCAATTTTACAGACACTCGCATCACTAATACAAATCATAATGACCTTCAACACATCCTATCTGGTACCCATTTAACATATGAGTTGAGAGAAGCAGATACAAAAAATGACTTGCTTACAGACATAAGTGCCATACGAGGGGGGTGTTTCACAAAGACACAAAGTACATTGTTGAAGAAAAAAAGTGACTTACATTGTAAAAGGTATATTCAAGACCTTGTACTAGGGTATGCGATTTATGAAACAGATGTAAATTAAGAGGGAAAAACAAGATAATAATGAACTATCAAAAAAATGTAAATTCTGTAGATTTGTATATCCCTCTAACCATTCCTTGCACTGGTTTCTCAAGGAACTAGTGGCATGAACAGGCTGTTTATTTGCCTTTCTGGTAATAAGGCAAATAAGGATTTGAGGGAAGGGGGATAGGGTGAAAGAGTGTGAAAGACATGTGTGCCATTAATAATAAAGCATTAAAATGGAAATTTATTCTGCTGTGTCAGGGTTCATTGTCTGACTCTCTATTGTGTTGGTAATCAGGGGGCCTGTCACACTATGAACATGACAGACAATGAAAGCGGACAAAATATACAGTTCCTCAGGTAGACAAAGGAACATCCCTTCACTGCTATTATGTAAAAATGTGAAGAACAGGTGAATATGCATGTGACACCTGTTCTACACATTTTTACATAATAGCAGTGAAGGGATGTCCCTTTGTCTACCCGAGGAACTGTATATTTTGTCCGCTTTCATTGTCTGTCATGTTCATAGTGTCAGTGAATAAGAAAAGACATGCCAGTGCACCTGCTTCAGAAGGGGTTTGGTATTAAACCATATGAACATCACATGGAAGGGTTCTGTAATGCAGTCCGGTAAACAACTTGCACACTTTTATTTGTGTACCCAAGAAAGGCACAGTGACATGGAACATTTCACTTACGGTATGCAGGAATTGATTTCACTTTGCTTTGAATTTGGCAAACAAGTGATCTTTTTTTTAGGTATTCACAGTTTGGAAATGAGAATAAGAATCAACAGCAATGGAGAAACTCAACTAATCCATCAGTAAGTGTTTTGAAGAAATAATATTTACATTGTGATGTTTAAAGTTTTGATGATTGATTGATGAAGTCAGGGGCTGATGAACAAAGAGGGGAAGAAAAAGAGAGAGAGAGAGAGAGAAAGAAAGTCAAACACATGGTTGTGACTGTGTTATATAATCACAGATAAAAGGCTTTTGTGTAATAACTTACTGTTGTACTTTGCATGCTTCACATGACAAGATGGCTTTCCTGAGGTTCCTTTCTGACTTTTCAGCAATCCTCTTGGCTAGCTCGGATGGAAGATTCAAACCTTCCTTCTTGCACACATTTTGGAGGATTTGTGTGATCTGTGCACAATTAAACAAACAGCAAAGGCCAATTATCGGTACGATTCATACCAAATTAAACTAATAGAATGTACATCTCAATGTGTCCTACTTAGAGGTCCTCATTCCAAGTAAAATTCACTAAAAACATGATCTGGAAACAAAAATAGAAGATGAAAGACTGCATATGGTTGATTCCAACTCTAGAGGTAAAATGGGAGTTCTGTCATGATTTTCACAAGAGAGAAAAGGATAGACCACCAATTCATTATTTCTATGTGATGAAAGATTAAAATATAGGTGATTTTACTTCCTACAATACAGAAATGACTTGCAAGATTAAATGATTTCTTTTGACGAGCTGTCACTACAATAAAAATAAAAACACCACTTTTACAGAATACAAAAATTCATATATTGCTGTGAGATTCTTTTACACTGCATGATGTGGAAATAAACTCCCTTACCTTATTAGCCACATTCAACCCAGGTGATTTAAAATGGGTACCTGGCAGGAATTAATTTCTTGACACGCTAGAGCGCCGTAATGGCAGCCATGCTAAAGCCAGGGTAATAATCTCCCTCTGCGCCTCAGAATAGTTTACTAGATCGATGGTGCATAACAAATGCTGTAGTATTATTATTACCTCTGCTATAGAAGGTGCTGCAACCCTGACCCCTAGACATCTACTTCGTATAGCAGGAATGACTTTACTGGTAGAGTTACAGCATAGGATAAGACGACAGGTCGCTGTGTACTTCTCCATGGTCCTGCGCAAAGCATGCTGGGCATCCTTGGTTAGGCGGTCCACTTCCGTCAACACCACAACTAGATAAGATGTATAAAAGATCAAAGATGACTCTCTGTTTTATCATATTTCATTTGATAAGTACTTTAAAATAAGTAGAACTGAAATATATTTCACGTTTTCACCCCCCCCCCCAAGATTCTACAACAGTGGTGTTTGCTTATGTTACAGCATATCAAAAGAAACAGTTTCATTTAGGGGGGGGGCACAAATTTAATGAAGAAAGTGTCACATCAAATGTCACAAAGTTATTTTTAGGTGAATGAAACTTTATTTTAATTCTCAAAAAATTATTTGATTAACCGTTTGAGCTCCTATACAGTGCATATATGTCATCTATTGATTTCAAATATCAGGCGTGATAAGTTTGATCCTAACAAGAATGAAATATTCAAAATGCAACATGAAATTATATTATACATATGATGAACTGAATGAGTGAATACTGTAGCCATATAAATCTTGTGTGCTTTGATGGTTTTCAAGAATCTATTTAATGATGTCTTATTTTCAACAAACCTTTGAAATCCCTTTGTGCAGATGTCTCCATCTGCTGAAATTGAGCTGTATTCTTGATCAAATCTTGAATCACGATACGATCATAGATCCCAGCATCACTAAAGATGGAAACAGAAAATCAAGATACATACTCAAACGTGGCATGTCAGTAAAAGAAAGGAAAATGAAGTAATCAGAAAAGATTTGACAAACTCTTCCCAATGTAAAATTAATGATTTTAAATGGCTATTAATGATTAACGGAGATTTGTTATATCTTGCCAATTTAATCTAACAAGTTTCTCTTTATGTCTCTGCTAATAAGTCTACCGGTATGTAAAATCCATAAAGTTTTGTGACATGTTTAAATGAATGAGATTGAGAATTAAGTAGACTGACTACATGAAAGTGGACCGTGACACATTACACTTATTTTTTCATCACCTATACTTGCTCTCTTAACTTCATTTCACATGAAACTGAAAGAGATACAAACCTTGGGTTGACTTCAATATGGTAGTTGCTCGCAATTGTGGTGATTTCAATTTTTGCTTTAGACGGTGTCTGTGAAACAGAGAAAGAAAACAAAACAAAATAATAATAATAAACACAGGATCAATCGTAAAAAAAAAAAATGTTAACAAAAACCACTGTCCTGGGGAACAGTGTTGTGTTGGTGGATCTCCAGTGGTTCCCTGACTCTACATGTATGCTCTCATTCCAAAGAATCCTGTACCATAGCCGGTGTGGGCATTACAGTTTGTAGCACGATATAAATCTAGTTTATTATGATTCACTTGATCCCTTAACTTCTTAAGTTGCACTTAAGTGTGAAAAAATCTAGCGACCCGTTAGTGAAGATTTTGAACAGTATTCTAATGTTCGCTGACTACTGTAACTACAAACTTCAGTTCATATCGTAGCCTTACCGTGAACGTCTGATGTTCAATCCGCAGCTTCTCGACCCCTGACCCATATAGCTCCTTGAGGGCGCACATGATCCTCGTCTTCTTTCCCGCACCTGACGGTCCATACACCATCAGATGAGGGAAATCACCCGATTGCACCTGTAATGTAAACAATATATAAGTAAATTATCATGCATGTTATGACACATGCATATGCTTAGATCATTTGAATATCAATGAATCTAATGTTTTGATTTTTGATATAAAAGATCCTGACTAGAAACCTATGTCATATTATTTTTGCTTAGAGTTTCGACATAATGTTATAGTCTATAATTAATATATCTAATCCACTCAAACAGATGTCAGACTTCAAATTGAAATAAACAATTTGAATTGGAAAATTTCTGTCATATAACTTATTGTATAAGTTTGAGATTAATCTGAAAAATCTAAGCAGGAATCCTGAACTTAGTTAGAAGTTGGAAAATTGAAATGAATACCAAACAGACCATAGACTAGACTTGACCTTGGTAGTAGATCTACCTAGATCAGCAAAATTTTACTTTATGTAACATTCAGACTTAGACTAAGTTTGATTTTATTCAATTGAATAATAATATTAACAAAAAGATGGAAAGAAAAAAAGTCAGAGACAGAGTCAGCCGAGCACAAAGAACTTTATCTTACATTAAGCGCATGCGCAGATAGCTCATCCGATCTCAGCCTCATTTTCATAAGTTGGCGTCTGGCCTAGCCGACATGGGCCCTTCAGATTGGCCATCGCTGTTCTCTATTCACTCAATCAATGCTACAAGATATTTGTGCGAGGAGCAAGCTTGCGATTTTCCGATTTTTTTTATACCAAAATTATGATATTTCAGTCAACCCTCTATTTGTTATGATTTTTTCACTTAAGTTTCACTTAGACTAGATCCTATAAGTATTTTTTAGGTTTGAACAATTCTCAGTCATATTCATTGTATAGACTTTGCCATTGAACTTAGTTGCGCTAAGTAAAGTACATTAAGTACTAAAGTAGTTCCTCTCGCACTTAAATTCGAAGCCACTCGAGCGGATCAGCCAATGGGAGCGCGTAAATCTCGTAGTACAGCGCTCAATGCGCAAAGTTGTTCATGCCGAGTCAGACTTGGACAAATCAAAAACAAATGCAGAGGCAGAGCTCGACAGCAAGTGAAACTTGAAAATGAAAGAATAGATATTCTAGGAGAGAAAAGAACCTCGAGATCATGGAGATAGTTAGATATGTCTTAATTGATCAAAAGCCTGCAGAAGGCATTTATTTTTCATTCATAATATAATTCTTGATCTAGAATCTAGATACATTTGCATTTGTTCATACACTCTTCCCAAATTTTGTGAACGACTAACAAGATTTTGAGTATATGGGACCCGTATGTAATGTACATTCTCCAGCTGACACACGCACATCGTTCTTGTAATCACCTAGAAAAGATCAACTCACCAATTTTTTCAGATTTGATGCTTGCTCCTTGTGATAATCCAACTTAGATAATGCCGTTGGCCTGTGTTTATCCACCCATAAACTCATTTTGATGGCAAAAAATTGATGCTGATTCCGGATTTTGTTCTTGTTTACAACACGTCTCGCGCGAAACTTGCAAATTTCCCGCAACTAAAAGGTCACGACCTGACAGAAGTAGTGTAGTCTTCGCTTCCAGGCGCGCGCGGCCATCCACGGAACTGTAACATAAACGGTAATTTTGGCAAAGAATTGAGGGGGGGGGGGGGGGGGGTAGTTTTTCCGTGGGCGGTTGTCCAGGGGGTAATTATCCTAGGACTCTATCGAAGTTGTATATGTGCAGACAGTTTTCTTAAATTCTGACCCTCAAATGTCTCTTGACCATATTTGGGTCTAGACTGATAGATTTATATGAGGTAGGTCTAGATCGATCTATATAAACCATAGAGATATCTCTATGATATAAACGGAACTATTCTAGCTTAAATATCTGGCGTTTGTGATAAAATAAATCATCGAAATACAAAAGTGGATGGAAGTGGAGCTAGTTAATAACCAGAGTTGAAATCTAGAAGTATAAAACAGACATACATGTAGAACAGGAATGAGAGAATACAGTGAAAAGAGATGAGCAAGTATAAACTGCAACTTTCTCACTATATTATGTTTTTATGTCACTATTCTCTAATTGTTTTGTCTCCTTTCTTTTGTTTGCAAACGATGTTGGATTGCTGGGTTTAAAGGGAAAGTCCACCCCCAAAATAAGTTTGTTTCGATAGAGGCAGAATAATAAGAAAATCAGGTGAGTGAAAGTTTGAGCAAATTCTGAATGAAAATAAGAAAGTTATGAATTATTGAAGTTGTGATCAATCAAATACAAATTGGCAACTCTGTGACTTATTATACGAGCTCTCCTTCATTTGCTTTGTGCATAATAATCCAGAAAATCATGTTTTCTTCGTTATTGATGACGGAATATATATTTGTTCCTTGCAGGGGGAGTATAGAAACATATTTGCAATTATTATATTTAGGGTGCATGTATGGTTGAAATTTTTCTTGAGGGAAAATGAAAATTTTAGATTTTTTTAGTACTGAGCAAATGGAAGTTGAGCTCGCATGATACGTCATAGAGTTGCCAATTTGTGTTTGATTGATCACAACTTCAAAAATCCTAACTTCCTTATTTTTAATCGGAATTTGCTCAAACTTTCACTGACTTGTTTCTCTCATTTTTCTACTCCTATTAAAACTAACTTAATTTTAGGGTGGACTTCCCATTTAATAATTATTCTACTGTTCTTGAATATATATGTTCTTGATACATATGTTCTCTCCTTTTCTCTTCCACATATGTGTGAAGTGGAAGAGAGAGGGGGAGATAGAAAAAAGTAAATCAATAACTCAACATATTCCGAAATATAAAGCATACAAATTTAATCGCATACACCGAGACACATAATACACATATTGCCAACAATACCATTGTGCACAATTCCTATTATACAATGAAATAAAATATCCTTAATTAGTCAAAATAACAGTATCACTTCCATCTATAAATATCATTTATGTTTCCATAAAAAAAAATACACAAACATAGCTGAATCCTTGTTATCTAGTATTACTGCAACATCTTGCACTCTTTTTAAAGAAACGTAAACAAAATTATTAAAAATTGCCTGAAGCAGTCACTATACACCAATTTAGTATGATCAGCATTGATCTCAATAACTTAATAATATCGATTTTCACAAATTAGTTATTTATGTATAGGTTAAAATTAATTTTTCAATAATTTCTGCAATTTATCATTTTACATAAAACTCTTGTCAGCATGTTTCAAAGAGAAATATCATCATTCAATATGTGACTATTGTTTAAACATTTATTTTTAAATGGAGTATTCGACTTGAGAAAAGTGACATATTTACCCATAAATTACATTTCTGAAAGAACATTTAATACAATAATTTTTTTGATCACCTTTTTGAACATTTAAGTTTATTTTTGGGGGGTCATAATCCCCCACCCCCCCCCCCCCCCTCAGCTTGAAAAGAGGCATTATCTAGCTGATAATTTCAAGGTTAACAAGATGTATTTAAAAATGATTAAAATATATGCTTCTAAATTTCATGGTAAAAAATATACAAGAGGCTATTGCACACAATTCCACACACAAGCACAAGAAACACATATAATTTAAGTACAAAAATAAAAACATACCAAAGTATGAAATTAGACATATTTGTGCAATACAGCATTCAGTAAAACATTATTGGCTGAACAGTTTTTAAAGGGGAAGTCACCCCTGAAATCAATTCAATTAACTTGACATCGACATAAAACCTCATTTATTTAAAACATATTACCATTAGGTTTGAATTGTACTGAAGAAAATACAATCGTTTGTATTTTAAATCTCTAATGGAAAAATATCATCTGGTTTTATGATGATTATTTTAAAGAAATTAAAACAGTTTTGTACTGGCCTTGGATGACTTGCAAATCAATACTGTGTACTGTTGATATGTCGATTATCTGCCATACAGTGCAAAAGAAGAAACAAATTCTATATATACTTTCATGTAGCTCTTGCCTTCAGCACATATTGCTACAAAACATTTGAACTGAGAGAACTGATACAGATAACTTATTATGATTATATACTTATATGAAATGCCATAACTACAAAAGAATTTATAAATGAATATCAGCTAACAAGCACCATGCTATTGCATTACTTCACTTCACTAAAAGTTTCACAAGAATTTGGTAAGAAATGTTCAAACCTAATGAAATAATCAAACCAAATAGGCTTATATGTATGAACACGTTGGAATACTTAAGTTTAAGTCACAACTTGAAGGGCAAGAACAATCACTTGGTTCTCTAGAATCACAACACATAACATTTCTAGCAAGTCTAACAACACATCAAGATAGTACCCTATAATTTAGCTACAGTATCATATTAACTTCTTTCATCATTTTACTTACTTATTATCAATAATAAAATCCCAAGAAGTGTTCACCAATCATCTCTACACCTCACCTTGCAAAATACACTATTGAAAAGTCATTTCCTACCGTTAATTTACTTGCATAAAGAGATTGCGGGTGATTGCAGTGCACACGAACAGCATATTTTTAAGAGGAAAAAGGTGGATACTACAATTCATGGCACCAAGAACCACATTTTTGTTCTGCCGTATTTTGCATTTAATTCTTATTTTATGATTAATTAGTATTTATCTACCCATGACATCTTTTGTTAAGTATGAAAAAAAAGAGAGAAAAAAAAAATCATAAGATACTTTGAATAGTTTCACACCTTGTATGGGTTGGGGGGGGGGGGGGTCCTCTGCTGTCTCTTTTTACAATCAAATTTGTTTTTTTCTTGCTTACCCCCAAAAAACAAATTGCTGCTTTTACAGTTTCATGCAGACTTGTGATGCATCTCACATCATCATGACCCCAACAAGGAATTTAATTCAACCTTCCTTTTCACTGACAGGGTTTTTTCATAAATGCTTTGAATTCAAGTGCTAAAAATAAATGGAGTGACCTACATGGATTTTTGTCTCCATTCATTTAATTGTTGCTTAATGCTTCAATCGGTCAAGTAATTGCATGCTCCAGAACATAATCCATCGTGTTTAGGGATTCATATTGTCTAGGTCTTAGGTAGATCTAATTCTGACACACAAGAACAATACTCCCTGGGATCCCAAATTGATGAAAATATTCTTGTAACTAATAAACAGCAAGGTATGTATCTTAATTGCATAGCACTGACCCAAATATTAGATTATTTTGTACCCAAGGACATATCCCTATCATATGCATGGAGCAGACAATTTTTTTGTCTCCATTCCAATAATTGACGTAATGCTACAATCGGTCAAGTAATTGCATGCTCCAGAACATAATCCATTGTGTTTAGGGATTCATATTGTCCAGGTCTTGGGCAGATCTAATTCTAACACACAAGAACAATACTCCCAGAAACCCCAAATTGATAAAAAAATAATCTTGTAACTAATAAAATATCAACTTGCATAGCACTGACCCAAATTTCAGCTTATTTTGTACCCAAGGACATGTCCCTATCATCTGTGCAGAGCAAGAATGATAAAAGCTCATACTGTTTTACACAGAGGTAATGCCTTAGTTTCTGACTCTTTGCAGGTGATACCAGGGAGATATCTATCCCAAATCCCTGAACACAGTAATCATAGATGCCATGATTAAGGGGAAATTATTTTTTTAAATCAGTGTTCACTATTACCTTCTACATAGACCTTTTATACATAGGTAGTTTACTGATCACTTCTCAAAATGCGTAAATTTTTCATTGCTTTATTTACATAGATATAATCATTTTTTTAAACATAGAATGTGCAAAAGGTTGATATTTATTTATATAAGTAGCAAAAGTCATCCAATATCATATCTTAAAGCAAATTTTAAAAAATGTCCTCATAATTGACACAAAATCAAGTAAACAAACAAACAAACAAGGGTTACAGCCTCTGCACCAATCCAACCAAAAGTTTACAACAAGGCATTACAATTTCTCAATAGAATAAAATTATTAAAACAGTTTTTGATCATGTTAAATAAGATCACGGACTCATACCTAGCACATGATATAAAGTTTGTATTCAGCCTTTTAAATGATATATGCGTAGATAGATACTTTTGCAAAGGTTTCATGGTTCTGCCACATGGATGATCTGCTTGCCAATATTCCCTCCATTCATCATGGAAACAAACGCCAATGGAGCATTCTCAAGACCATGTGTCACTGTCTCTTTATACTGTGAAAAATGAGCATATTACGAAAGAACGTACAAGTAAATAAAATGATAATTTTTCAAGCAGATTAAATTTGTTTTCATATTGTCCTTAGCACCAATGGTTGTTTGCTAAGTTCAAGGTGCCCATCACCATAGCTTTAGCTGATCTGATGTAATTAGGTGTCTAGGCAATCAATGAATAACATTCATAATTTTCTTTTAAATCAAGTACTCACTTACAACACCTGGATCAAACATGGTATATCAAAAATATAAATATATGATTACATGTGTCAGGGTACTTTACAGCTATTCGGTTAAGATGAAATGTTGTTTGTGCATTTTAATAATTTAGTAAGAGGTTATAAGATCCAAATTAACTAAAAAATGGTAAAATATGTAACCCATCCCAAAGGTGTCAACCAAAAAATTGTAACACATGAATGTATATAAAACATATCATGAATAATAATGTAGAATTGATACAAGTAAATATTTTGACCTCTCATCATATTCACCAGTTCTGCCCCCCTACTATTTTTAAAATCATTTCTGTTATCATAATTACAGATTGATTCCAATATTCATTAGATAAATAATTATATCTTCCCTCAAAATAATCTTATTCTATTTGCCATAAATCAGGAGGATCTTAATAAATATGGAGTATATTTGAATAAATAACAATACTCTTACTTTTAACTTTCCCTCCTTCCACCATGCTGCAAGCTGAGCTATGGCAGCAGGGAACTCTTCCACGTAGTTGAGGACCAAGAAGCGATCTCTTGTGATGTTCCTCTCCTCCCGAATCTGCTCGATCTCCTCAGGGAGTGATGGCGGGTAGGGCACATTGGTGTTATACATGGATATCTGACCACACAGGATGATATGGGAGTTCTCGTTCATCTACCAAACACAAATAAGACAAATTGGCTTATGAATAGTAAAGGACCCAATAGTGATCCCTGATGTATTCTATTGATCTCTGATCTACTGTGGAGGGTAGGGCACATTGGTGTTATACATGGATATCTGACCACACAGGATGATATGGGAGTTCTCGTTCATCTACCAAACACAAGTAAGACAAATTGGCTTGTGAATAGTAAAGGACCCAATAGTGATCCCTGATGTATTCCATTGATCTCTGATCAGCTGTAGAGGGTAGTGCACATCTGTGTTTGGTCCTTCCATTTTAAAAAAACAAATTAGAAACATTTTACATGTCATGTTTGCACACCATTAATTTTGTCAAAAGGTTATGTGTTATAAGTAACCACTTTGGAAGGTGCAAAAGAGCTTCACAGAGATGCAGAATGCTCATTATTGAGAGTGGCAACCCTGTGGTATTCCTGTCCTGCATGACCAGCCAAATGTCTGCAGGAAGTGGTGATATGATAGTTGGAGAGGGAGAGGGAGAGACAGAGGGGGGTGGGGGTGGGGTGTGGGGTGTTGGGGTAGGGCAAATCTGTGATGTATAAGGCTACCTTACCACACAGGACAGTGAGAGCTCTTCTTTATACAGAAATCAAAAGTATTTTGTTTCTTCTGCATTCTTTTTTTAAAAGACTACCTTCACATCTGGAGTAGATAGCTACAGTAAAATAAATCCATCCAATTGAATTAAATACTTAAATACCATTGTATTTTTTTTTCTCATCCAGAAGTACATAACAACCTTTTCAACAAGTTTAACTTCTGTAACATTCTTGCACACTAATGCAGTCGGAGTCCATCTCAAGCTAATTCTTTTTCTAACTATGGATTTTCGGCTTTCGTCTTGGCCAAGTTCCTTTTGCTGAAATGTTTAAAACATCCTGGAAGGAGCTTTAAAGTCACTTGATTTGATAATTTAATGATGGTTAGGCAAAAATAGAGAGGACATTTAAATATTTAATGACGCGCTTAAACCCTTCTTAATCTGTGATGTTAAATTATATATTATATTTTTGGTCAATGAAATCCAGTTCAGTGATTGGTCAACATAGCATCAGGTGACCAAACATAACATTGCTATGATGTAACTGTGACGTCATACATGGCACTATACCATGGATGATGTTATATATATGCGATCTATCAAGATCAATGTGATATCGGTCGTGGTCGCGGTACTGTCTCTCTGTGCTGCTCTCGCTGCACTCTACACTACTTCAGTGACAGTAAACATTATTATTATTATTTTTATGAAGATTAGTTTGAAAAATATAAAACAAATATATCATGCACATTTTCAAGCCACTAGTAAAATTATGGATTCCTCGGCGACAGAAATAACACTATTTACTGCGGGGCTACACCCCTCAGAAAATAGTGCTTTTCCTGCCACCTCGATCCATAATTAGAGCCTCTCAGTGCATGGTATATTTGTCTAATGCAACTACTTTTGTTGATCTGTTCTTAACAGGAGCCATCGGGATTCAGAACATGTCTGCATAACATTACAAAAGTGGGGTTACACTTTATCATTCTGATCCCCTGCTTTAGGCAGTATGGCAGAAGTAATCTGTGAAATGCAAGTTGAGAACTGTAATGTCATGGGAATAAATCAGCACCGTCATGGTTCTTACCTGCTTAATGACAGAATTACTGATGTCTCCGCCCACATTGTCAAAGTAGATGTCGACGCCCTCTGGGCAGCACTCCTTGATCCTCAGGAAGACATCTTGGGTGCGGTAGTTGATGGCATGATGGAAGCTTAGCTCCTCCTGGAGGAAGGAGCACTTGGTATCGGAGCCACAGATACCAACCACGGGACTGCAGCCCTGGAGACGGGCAATCTTGATAAAAAAAAATTTTTAAAAGAAAACAAGTTTTAGTTATGATCAGTAATTTTAGAGCAGAGATTTCTCCTGTTCCATTTTCATTTTCCTTTTTTGAAATTTCAGGTGTGCCCAGTCAGAATTCAAGAGGTAGATGAATGAGAAAATATTTGCGAGAATTAAACTTTCATAAAAGATATACACGGATATATCATATTGCTAATTGAAGAAAAAAAAAAGTCTCACGGTAAGACAAATAAACAAGCTATATCACATTTGTCCTGACAACTTGACTGTTTTTTGTGGAAATTACTGACGTTTTGTATCTGGCTATCATTGGAATGTTTTAGTAAACCATCTCTAATTTGATAACAATTTGAAAATGGCTTTTTAAAGATTTAATACAAATAGCACAAATATTTATTGCTTTACTATTAGGATAAGTATTGAGAGACATTGCAGTCAAGTAAGAGCAAAATTCAGAGTAACTTTTCGAAATATGGGAGCTTAATTGTTGACAAACCATATCTGACTTACCTGACCAGCAAGTGATCCACAAGCCCCTGCTGCGGCACTCACAACAAACGACTGACTGGCTTCTGGGATCACATGACCCTTTTCCCTGATACCGATGTACGCTGCTTGACCAGGAAGACCAAAGAGACCACAGATGAGGGAGAAGTGTCTCTCGATCAGGGCGGGGTCAACCTAAGAGAGCAAATGAAAGGGGGAGGGAATGGTCAAAGGTGGTATAGTACTGTAACACTGTCTAGAAAGGCCACATGTATATAAAAGCTACTATCATTGTTTTATCCCATGTAAAAATCCAATGTATTGTATAAAATAAGGTAAAGAAGCCACTTGAATCACTTTCACATCGATGACCTCTATAGACAATCTTTTTCAAATGCATAATATGAAGGGTCGGAGAAATAAATGAGTCTGGTTGTACATCCCAGTATAGCTTCCTGAGTAAGCTCCCAAAGGGATAACCCAACCAAGTACCAAGTACAGTATCCCACTGATATAATGCAATATACAGTTCTTGATGAAGCATTGAATGACAGCACAAATGCACATTCCCTTCAATTCATACAAAAATATGGATTTAACAATGTCCTCTTGAAGAATAAGCAAAAAGACCTTTTCTTCTTCAAAGAACTTCTTTATGAAATAAATAGATGATTTTGAATTTTTATTAAAAGTAAATTATAAAAGTATATTATTGTTCCGTTTTTTTTTTTGCTTTTCATAAATATACATAACTGGTAACATTTTGTTTTACATTGAACTATCAACCTGGAAAGGTAAAGAAGTATTGGCATCTTACCTGAGGTCCTCTTTCAATCTTTTTTAATGTGAGTTTACTATCAGTGGAATAAACACAGTATGTGTCATATTCTTAAATGTTCAATGTTACATCTAGTCATTGTTATTATCACCCAATAGATGTTGTTATGAAGACAAATTTATACTGCACTGTTATTCAATCAAAATAAAGTTAAAAAGCAAGAAGTATAAAGAAAGTATTGACTTGCACCTTCTTTACTAGCAAGCAGTTGACTCCCCGCAACTCCATAAGGGCATACACCTGCCATGGCCAGTGAAAACTTTCCAGAATTTCACCCCTCCTGAATCCTCTACACTGGCTCTCCACGATGATGCCTACCCCTCCTCCATCAATGGTCTGATGTAATCGCCATGGTGACATGTAGTCTGTTCCAGTATCCAAGTTCATGCGACAGCGCTGGGTGTAAAAAAAAATTCACAGAATACAGAAATCAAGAAGTTCATATATTTTCATCTAAAAACAACTATTACTCATTTGTGTCTCTAAGTTAAATAATTTAAATATGTTGGACAAAAAGTTAAATAAGTAAGGGCAAAAGATGAAGACATTCATACCTATCTGTTTCAGGGTATGAATGTGTGTGTGTGTGTGTGTGTGTGTGTGTGGGGGGGGGGGTTAATGGTGAATAAAGCATGCCCCTCTTGGTTACAGGTATTTCGGATTCTCTGACATGGGGGCACAAGTCTTAAAATTATGTGGCAAGAGAAAAACATGGCTGAGGGGGGGGGGGGATGTGCCCCCTGGATCCACCACTGCCTCCCACATATTTGAATGTTTAATATATACAATGCAAACCATATTATTTGCTACTTATACATATTCTTAGGACCTTCTTACAAAATTTCTTCAGATTTCCTGGATTTACTGCTTGACATTCATATCAATCTTACCATGTAAGGATCTACTGACAGGCAGAGCGTTTTGACAATGATAGTACCATCTTTGATCTCAGGAACAGGGCACTCTTCTACCTCAAAATGGTCCACTGTAGGCTTTGTATTGATTCCTGTTATGTACAAAAATTAAAAGATTTGGGAGAAAAGGTTATAAAATGTTTTTTCTTTATAATTCTGACAGTTACATTGGGGTTTCAAAAATTATGCTGGTATATTCAGAATTCGAAAATCTTGATTCTGCATATTGCTTAAAATATGATTTGATTTTAAATGGAATGTTTACAAATTTCTGATCTAACAAAATAGATTTAAAAAAAATGATTTTGGGATCCATTCATGTTATATCATGTCATGATGCACAACTCTTCAGATTATGATAAAAAAAAGTTTAGATAGACCATATTTATCGTGTGTCAAGTCCTGCTTCAAACCCATGAAAAATCTAGTATTAAAGAGAGAGAAAAAAAAGACACTTCGCTTTCTATTTGGCAAGCTTATATATCAGTAGTCAATGAGTATATTTCACATTATTACCCGTATCAGACATCTGAGCAGTAGTTTTACAAATCATATTACACTTCTTGTTATCCTAAAAGAGCTAATCAGTAAATATAAGACCATATTACCCTCTCATGAAAAAGCCGTGTTAAAAAAGTAGGAAATAAAGTCTCATATTCATCGTGCCGTATTTTGTCATTTTCATTGCGCATCTATTATGCGTACAAGAACCTGCACATTTTGCGCGCACTCTATTGTGATCTATTGTGACGTGACATCACACCAAAGGCACACTGTAATTTGAAGTGTATTGAAAATTTCGTCAAGCACTGGATGCACAGTGCTAGTTTGACAAAGTTTCTTCAGTTATTTGAGATTGTCATGGTTGATTTATGTATTTGCTCTGATGTGGATAACAAAAACAATATTGACTGGCTTAACTTTTGGGAGATACCACATATATTGCCCTCACAAGGCCCATATTGCCCTCGTCTTTGACTCGGGGCAATATGAGTCTAGTTTGGGAAATATATGTTGTATTTCCCCCAAGGCCAGTCTGAGTCAATATCTAAGTATTAGTTTATCTACATTTACTTGTACACACAGCACAGCAGTTTGAAGTTATAGTGCATTGACATAGTCACTGGCATTATTTACCCGGCCTTGATGCAAGTACCACTCGCTTGTTCATCTTGATTTCATCACTCAGTCTGTCACCATACTCCTTCATTTTACCACCAATAGCATCATCTAACAATCACCAATCCTCATGTTGCATGTAGATTTCCAAATCATGTAAAGTAAAATATCCAGTCCAAATGATGATACACTAAGTAGTACTAGTTCACTATCTTCATACGACGAACGTGCAGATGCTTCGATTCTACACGTACTCAATGCATGTACCATCGGTAAGCGATACGGTGCGTGTTGATGCGATGCAATGTTGATATTTACATGGTTCAAGTCTGTTGTACAGCTGGCTACAGCTGATTCACGCGAACACCGGGCACATCAATTATGATAATTGTGACAGCTAGATGAATAAATAATTCTGTGGTCTAGATCTAGTATATGCGTGATGCGTGTTGTTATTGCTTAGCTTCAGTACAAGGCATGCCCAATAAAAACAGTTCACTTTCACCATTTTGGGCTCTTCTCTTTGTTTTTTAATTTGCTTTTGTTTTGTTTATAAATGTTCGTTGTCAATCTCATGCACAGCTACGAGGGGGAAGATTTTGCATACCGGCATTTTACTTCCGGGATGCACCTGTACCAACCGCTTAAATCTACAGAAAATAATCACATTTCATCTTTGTCCCGTTTTCGATACTGAATCAAGCATAGCGAATTGGCGCAAATATTCACTAACATACCCGCTCCAACCTACCGGATCATCAAGACCCGCAGCATGCGCATATCATAATTATGTGTTGCATATTCGAATGTGATTAAATCTGTAGCGACTAGCAAACCTTCGGACTTCGACCAGAATTTGGTTGATTTAAATTTCCGAATTCCCTTGTTTACCAACGCGTGAAATCATCATTGGGACCAAAGGTCGATTAAAGACAACATTTGGTTACATTGAACCGGTGGGAATAGGACTCAATGCCCAGATTTAGCATGGATGAAATCGGCGATCTCATCAATTCTGGACAGACTATCGAGGTGGTTTTGCAGGGCGGCGCTCCGTGGGGATTCTCGTTGAAAGGCGGTGCAGAGCATCACTGCCCACTCACAATAGCGAAGGTACGTTGTGCGTCCAGATTTTCGATGATTCACACAGATTTACAACGCTGTTATTGTACTTTGTAAAAAGAAAACCACGCAACTTGTTTTTAGGCCTAACTCGTCAACTTCTCTCAGCATAATTTGACTCGTAGATAGAGTCTACATTCTTCAAATGATTGAGATTTAAACAAAAGTTAAAACAAATAAAAGTGGAATAAGTGAGTAGAGTGTGGGTGACGAGTATGATGCAAATAAATGTGTTGATGTCATGACTCGTGTCTGGTATCGTAACAGTGGTCTGAAATAATAATGCCTTACATACACCATAAAGTTTCCACTATTCTGTCAATTTAGACTAGATTGGCACTTGTACTTTTGAGCATTGCGGCCTTTCGATGGACAGAAATGACCGTCTGGTATGGGTCATTCTGTAATAAAACTGAGTGACATTTGGCAGCCTTCCCCATAGAGACAGTCAGAGGATCGAGGAGCCAGATGTAATCTCAGCGGAACAACCGTCGATATCAGAGAATGAAGCTTTCGGTCTAGCTATTTGATTGATAAGCCATTTGAATTTGTCAAGTTGTATTTTTTGATTGATTAAGTCATAGACTATTCTAGACCTATATCATGTAACTATATAAAATCACTGCTTTTAATTCACTTTTATGTGTCACTCAGTTTGATTTTATTTTCATAATTTCTTTTAGATTCTCATAGGTTTTTTGAACAAGTACAGATCTACAGACCTTGTGCACTTTTCAATTCCATGAATTTATTACACTCATGAAAAAGAGAAAGATCTGATTCACATTCTGAATCATCAAAAATCATCAAAATTACTTATTGAGAGTCAAAACTATATTCAGTTTTAAATTTGTTTCAAATGGTACCGGTACTAAATTATGTGACCCTACATTGCACACTGATTGTCATGTATAATCATGGCCGTTAGCTTTACCACATTTACGGGAAGAATGCTAAGGCAGCAGCTGGGCTTCCAGGCTTATCTGACCCATTATAGTGTTAACATTCCAATCAATACTATGAGAGCAGAAATCAATAGAAAGTCTTACCGTATCCTTCTAAAACAATGTATGTTTTTTTCTTTTATTGATCTTGTGGATTATTGTGTATTTTCAGGTAGACCATGATGAATAGAATTTCACACCTGAATGAGTAAAGAAAATGCAAGGACAATTTTTAACATTTCTTTTGAAAGAGAAAAAGGTGGACACCTAATAAATTTTAGCCAAGATGTACTGTAAAGGGGACCCCTGTATCTGAATACATTATGTTTTATCTTTCTTTTTTTGACCAACCACAAATCCTAAATTTAGGGCACTTTGATCCATTCTGCAACCACCATCACCTGCACTCACTCACCCACTCTACATGTACATGTACATGTAGTGTTCATTTACTGGCAAAAAGGGAGTAAAAAGACAATTGTGCACATACATGTACATGTGGCTATATAGAGATATTGAATATAATATGAAATTTAGTGAGCAATTAATTGTGGCATACTGTATTCACATGTAGATCTAGTGATCTACATGTACAATGCACATGATTGTAAGCTCAAAGCAAATATCTTGCAAAATACAATTCTAAATGTAGAGAGTACTTATGCTTATTACACATGTAGAGAGTTTTATTACCCAGAATCACGACAATTTTCTCTTTTATAGTCCATTGCTAACCTCACTGTAAACTCCAATAGCTCAAATTATTGCTCCAAACTCCACCATGTTCATAGTAGGTCTAAAGGTATTCTTGAGTTATGATGATGAATGATGACAACAAATAAAAATATTCCACTAGGTTTCAAACTGCAATCTGTAATAAAGATATCTCATGCAAAACAAATATGACCCCTTCCCCCCCCCCCCCCCAAAAAAAAAAATAATATCGAGCAAAGAAGGATGCAGTTTGTAATTTCATTATACCATGTACGTGTATGTAGGCACTTAAGGTAGAATGTTTCTAGTGTGCATTATTTTACCACATTAGTTTGGCAATTATGTTGTAAAGTTGTGACCCCCCCCCCCCCCCCCCCCTCTTGATCATGATGATATTACTTTGTTGGAAAAAGAAGTTGGATCTTATCAAGGCATACTACATGTAGCGCATTGGCATGATATTAAAAAACCCTGGATATCCTGGTTACAATAGTATTACACCACTGAGAAATGATGCCTCTTATCCATGTTGGAGGAGGTTATGAAGGGATCAGTCTGCCAAAATCTTTTTTTTTCAGGAGAAGTATTGTTGATGTTTTTATGGTTTGTAGATAAAGATCAGTCAATGTAGCATTTTATACCATCACCAAGTACAATACTTGTACTGCAGTTGTCCATGCAATACAAGTTACAACTTCAAATTCTTTCTAAAATTTTCAAGTATAAATTTTGGGCAATAAATTTCCCCTTATTTTACGTCTGCACATTAGCTTAACACGAAAATTAGATTTACAACAATTTGCATGATTGTAGAAATAAACCAAACATACACACACACTCGTAAGATCTCTCCCTTTAAACAGACAAAAATAGCTTGAAATATAGTCTGGCTTCCTTCACCTGAAGAGGACTTGTTTAGAAACGGGTCCTTTGTTGGTCAATTCAGACGATCAGATGGGATCAATAGCCGGCCTTTTTGACAGTCTCCTTTCATTCTTTGTTGATCTCATTCTTTGTATTGTTGGATTTTCTCAGTTTCGTTGAGAGGAAAGGAAGGAAGGAATGAAAATGGTTGCATCATTGCAAGCAAGCAGTTTTGCTTGACAATGCAACATCTGTACAATTTGGAGTCAATGAACAGATTCAGGTGTACAGGTTTTTGTACCACAATAGATTATTTATTATCAAGAAACAGATTCTCGTTTTTTCTGAAATTAAGTTGCTGGACTTGATCAAGATATTTTGTTGTTACCAAAACTGTGGGACTTGCAGTCTCAGATAATTTTTTGTAACTTCATAATCAAACTAATTGATATTGTAGGTATTGGGTATTCTTTTATTTTTACAATGGTTTTCATGGTCATGTGTTCCCAATTTGAATTGTTTCTTGATTTTGTTGTTGTTGAAATGATGAAAGGAACATTTGCACAAATTATGTACAATAATTTAATGGTTCTTTGACAAGTGAACTTCAACAGCTAGAATTCTATAGCTGAAATTAAAATTTTACATTGCTTTGTGACAATCATTCCAGATTATTTAGAATTACATTCCTCATATTTTAACCAGAACCTTAATCATTCATGAAGATATAGAAGAGGAGGGGACAAAATTAAATAATAATGGAGATAGATTACATGTACAGTAGAAGGAGAAATGCAGGGATGAAAAACAATAGGCACAGTGAAAGAAATGTAAGATTTAAGAAGAAATAGAAGTTGAAGTTGAAAAGGAGAGGGAGAGAGAGAGAGAGAGAGAGCGAGAGAGAAAGAGAGAGAGAGAGAGAGATTGATTGAAACAGAAATCTGCTTCAGTGATGAATCCTAATGTAGAAACTAGAAAGGAAAAATCTTGAAGGAAGAATAAAAAGAAGACATGGGAAGAAAGCAAGGTTGTAAAATAGAAAGAAAGTGAAAGTGAAGAATAAGGAAGAAGCAAGGAAAGATGAAGATGAAAGCAGAGGATGGAGAGTTGAAGATAGAGAAAGTGAAACAAGAAACCTGCTACAGTCACAAATTGCCACTGTACAGCTCTGTAGGATGCTAGTACCTGTATCCATTTACAGGTGGGGAAATGTAAACATCTTCATGAGGTCAAAGGTCGCATACCTAGGCCACCCTCTTTCTGCAACCTGTCAAGTCTGCTCCAATTTATTCATATTCTGAAAGTATAGACATATGCCTGCATCACTTTCATCCACAGTTTCATTTCCAATGTAAATACAATTATGTTTTCATAAACATACTTTAACTTCTTTGATCTGGTGAATTTGATATTCCATGTATCAGATGTGTGACCAGTAGAAGGCGCGAAAACAAATTATGGTTGATCCCCCCCCCCCTTTTTTCTTTTCAGTTTTGAAATGTTATGAAAGGAGAAGGAATAAGTAATGATAAAGAAAAGATAATAATTCAGAATAATTATTAAATGAATTGTTTATTTTTAGATATATGTAAAATTGTAAATAAAGAATGGTCAATCAATGCATTAATTTAAAGAAATGAAGGCCTTCATTCACTGGCTATGCATCAATTCCTGCCCTACTTCTGGTGCTGATAAGTATCTGTATTCTGTTCTGCAAATTACCATGTCAATGTATGAATGTACGTGTACATGTACCATGTAACATCGCAGGCTTCTACATTGCACATGTTCAAAATTGAAAGTCAAAACCAGAACATGTCCAATATTATAGTCATAGGAATAACATTTAACTACATCTACTTGTCTGAAAAAGAAACTTGATGGGGGCTGTTCAGGGTGACTAGCCCCCAGGCCACCAACTTTTATGCAGAGCCCCCCCCCCCCCCAATCTAATTTTGAATTTTGTTTCTAGGCTCTTAAAATTATCTATGAAAAATTAAATTGATAGGGGTTGTTCAGGGCGACTTGCCCAAAACCAATCTTTCAAGAACAGCCCCTTCCCCATCTCAATTTGAATCTTGTTTCTGGGCTCCTCCTAAATCAGCTGTGAAAAAGAAGATCGATTGGGGCTGTTCAAGGCGACTCGCCCGAGCACTTTCACAAGTCAGCCCCCCCCCCCCCCCACATGATTTAATTTTGAATATTTTTAGACTTGTCCTCAATTAACAGCCATTCTTCAGCGTTACCTCCAGCAGACCCTGGGAATTAAGTCCTAGGAATTAGGATTTGAGGGTCTTAAGACTCTGACTACGATACTATTGATGCATAGCAGTGACAGCACCCTATTCATGTCATTCCTGTGCAGGATTTTGTTTCCACCACTTAATGAAAAAATAAGATTAGGAGAAAAGTCAGGATTTAACAGATTGCACAGCAGTATATGTGCATTTCATTCTTGCGAAGAGAGAA